GAGACCCTGTCTCAAAAAGACAAAAAAAAAAAAAAATACTGTTGCAGTATTTCTAAGAAACATGAATCAGGCACTTTATAGAAAAGCAAAGTCTAGGCATTTTGAGATGAATAAAATACAAGGACAACTTAATTTGATTGGTAATAGTATCATGATTATAAAACAAAGCTTTATATAAGCCTTAAAATACCTAATTTTATTCTCAATAATGTAACTCTAGAAAAGACTGCAATTTCAATAAATATCTGACTATAAGATGATTCTAGATGGGTACCTAAATATCACAACTTAAGTGGATCGAATTTTTTTAAAGGGGAAAACCAGCATCCCTGTCCCCCTGCCTGTGTCCTGAGACCCCGTGTCTAGGCATTTGACAGATGTTCCTGGCAGGCAGCAACGTTCATTCTCCCTGGGACACCACCCAGACAAAAGACAGCTTAAAGTTGTGAATAATTTGAGGTTCCTGTGGAAACCACACGTGATTACTTATGATTTTAAAGAGGGGAAGCACAATAAAATCAAGTGAACGCCAACAGGCAATCTGACCTAAAAGCCTACCAGCCCTCCGTTTCCCGGTGCGCTTCCCTCCGCCCCACGCACTGCAACCCCACAACCCCTGGCACCTGCCAGAGCAGAGTGCTGTGGGTTGGAAACCGAGGGGTCATTCACCTCACTGCCCCCGTCACTTTTTCCTTCTCGCCCTTTTCAGGCCCTTTACCTCATTTATTCACGCTTCAGAGTCCTTTGCCTGGAGTTACGCTCACCTTCACTGTACCATTCTGTCCAGCAGTAGAGTACACCGGCCTAACCAATTCCCGTTCCTACTCTCCAAAGTGAGAATTGCGTAACTGTCTATCCTCTAACAGCCTTAGGCTTCCCACCTCAGACTGACAACACAGCCCTTTTCTATGAAAATGAGAGCACTCGCCTTCCCCACTCCACCTCTCCCGTCTTAGAGCACCTTCACCGAGTGCTCCCTCCTCTTAACGTGTCACGTCCATTTCTGCCCATCGCCAGTCCCCTCGCTGACTGATACACACCATCATCTCTTCTCAGCAGCTCTACTTCTACTTTCCTCGTTCTCCCCTTGACAGAAAAATTTTCCTCTTGAATCAGTTCCTTCAGCCCACAAAAAAATGAAACACATTTCTTTGATTCTGTCCTCTTCTAACTTTTGCTTACCTCTTGAAAATTACGTATTTCCTTATGCCTACAGAAATACTTTTAGAGCACCTTATTTTCACTCTCTCTGTCTTCCTGTGATATTTTTAGCAGAGTATGCTGCTGTGTGGGTGTGTCCCCCGAAGGTCTATATGTAAAACCTGGGTCCCCAGAGTGGCACTGTTGAGAGGTTTGCCCTCAGAAGGGACCATGGGACTCAGCTGTCTTCCTCTTTCTGCTTCCAGGGCCGAAATGGGAGCATTCACTATGCCATGCAAGATGACGTGCTGTTGCAACCAGAGGCTCAAAGCATGGAGCCGTTCAATCTTGGAATTTCCAAAACTGGAACTAAACAAACTTTTCTTCTTAAGGAACCTGTCCTCAGGATTTAACTGCAGTAACATGAAGTTTCCTAATACAGAGCGCTACAGCCAATCTGGCTTAGCCTAAAAGCTACATACTCACCCGAAGCCAGTTCCGCTACTCTGAAGACAAACGTGCCCCCCAGACCCCCTAGTCAGATTCTCCTTGCGTATCTGAGGTGAGCTTGTGAGAGATGAGCCCTTGAACGTGCAGAAAGAGACCCCTTGAAAGCTTCACAAAAATCCCTCTGCTTAAGGTTACTTTCCTTGCCACATGCAAAGCACAGAGATAGCAGCCACATCTAATTTCACGTAACTCAGGTGTAGCCCCCAGCTAGTGCCTTAAGCCATGACTCTTGTACACTTTTTTCGGTGGTGTTGTTGTTTGTTTGTTTCTGTGGTACCGGGAATCGAACTGAGGACCTCGCCCTTGCTGGGCAGGTGCTGTGCCACTGAGCCGTGTCCCCGGCCCCTTCTTGTTATTTATTTATTTTTTTGGCACCAGGAATCCAACTCAGGACCTTGTGCTTGCCAGGCAGGCTCTGTGCTGCTGAGCTATGTCCTCAGCCCACTTCTTGTAGTTTTTATAAACTCCAAGGAGCCTGTCTCCTACCTCAGCCAGACCTTTAGTTTGAAACCATACCAAGATATACATACCTGATCTTTGGGAAACACTTTTGGAAAATGAAGCAGGTCTAAAGCTGCTGTCCTGACAATGAAAGGATCTAATATTCTAATTTGATAAGGTTTATAGATCAAGTTCAAGGCTGGTTTCTTCCAAAAACCATTAGCATTCTGAAACAAAGAATACAGAAAGTTACAGCTGTCTTTTATGTTTTAAAGGGAAAAATACTGAAGGTTATCTGAAGGCAGATCAATTTGGCCAACTTACTATTTTGCCACCAGTCAGCAATTCTGCCAGCCACTTTAAGTCAAGAGGCTTAAAGACAGTGAGTATCGCCGTAGCATTAGGGTCATTGTGACTGGGATCTGAAAAAACAGACTCTGGATAAAAAAGTCGGAAGGTTGTCCTTCTCCCGACCTCCTCTTCATGGCCTAGAACAGGACCACTGTTCATTCTGTGGGCAGTAAAACATGGAGATATGTAGGCCAAGCGCAGCGCGAGCCACTGCCATCAAAGCTCAGTGGCTTCAGAACCGGACAAACAGCTACTTGTTCTGTGTTCTGAAGCCACGTGGCACCTGACAACCTCTACACACAGTGGCGAATGAAGTACTTCCTTTTCATGAAGCAGCTGTTTGATCAAAGCAGAAACATTAATTTGTATTAGAAAACCAATTGATGGAGGCAGTAATAATTCAGTCTTACTTCTAGGGAAACTGAAGACTAAATAAAAGAGATGGGAACACAGAACCACGAATACCAATTAAAAGACACCTTGGAGGACAAGAACACAACCTTCACTTTACAGTCAAGAGGTCTGATGTCCAGAAAGACAGCTATCTGCTCACAGTCATATGATCTTAGACACAGGGACATGTATCTCCGTTGACAGGCAAAAAGAATCATTTAGGTTGGGTCTAAAGACTTATCAAAACTGTGCTCTGAAATGAAGTAACCATATAAAATTGCTGCATTACACTGGAGCACAACTAGATGAACATCTATTGCTAGAGAGTCAAAGAACCACAAAGGGTCTACTGTTAGGTTTGTGTATTCTCAGAGCCAAGGTCAGACACGCACTGTTTATGCACACACTATAAAGTCATGCTGTACAAAAAGGAATGCTTTGTTTCCCAAACAGTGTCCTCCAGGAGGGTAAGTACTGTTTTCCCTTTGCCACTGACTCTGTGTAATACGAGACAGTCTTCACGCTAGCAGTGACTTTCAAAACGCACCAGTGGTGTTTTCCTCCCCAGGCTCTTACTCTGTGGTAGAAACCTGTGGGACGCGTGCCGCAGGAGCGCTCTGAAAGGCTCATCACTGCACTGTGTGATCAAGTTTAGACTTTTGTAGGTACAGAAACTGGTGGATGCTTCAAATATATTTTGTAATTTTGTAATATCATAGCTTCTTCAAAATGGGTAACAGGAAATAAGGTGACCTTGCTATGCAGAAACCGGTCTGTAGCCCAGCAAAACCCACAAACACTGCTAGGCCATCCTAACACGCTGCCCCCGCGCACTAGCTTTCCCACAGGACTATTCACAGCTGTTCTTAACACCGCACGCAGGCCTGATGATGGCCTTACCAGACCTTTCACTGAGAAAACAGAAGCAGCCTTATTTCCCCACTACTGCATCTAAAGGAATACTAGTAGCTGCAGCCCCAATCCGGGCTGTTCTTTTCACTACAAAGTATCAGTCACACCTGCTAGGCGTGGTGGCCCAGGTATGTAATCCCAGCGCTCCGGTCAGCGGAAGCAGGAGGTTGGCAGGTTCCATCCCAACCCGGCGACTTAGTGACTTAGTGAGACCCTTTCCCAAAACTAAAAACAACAGGCCTGGGATGTAACTCGGTGTGAAGGCCATTTAATCCCCACTACCAAAAAATAAACAAAAAAACCACACGTGTACTCTGGACCAAATTATGTCTCCCTTTATCGTAGCATTTTCTGTCTCTGTTCGTTTTCATCGTTTAACAGTATGCTGTACATCTCCTCTCTTCATAAAGCAAAATAAAGAAATCCTTTGTTTCTGCAGCCGTCGCTATCAGCTCATTATTTAAGTCCTTTTCTGAGCTAAACTTCTCAGAAGAGCTGACCAGTTTCTCCACGCCCTGCACACGCCGCTCTGATCTCTCTTCACTCTCGTTACACGCTACCTGTGGCCTGCTTTGTTCAGAACACAACAGCCTCAAGCTCACAGCCCAGGGACCCTCCCTGGCCTGGACTCGCATGGCTCCCCACTGCGTTTGGGACTCGGCTAACGCTGTCCTGCAGCAGGCTGCTCCCCTGGCTTCTGCGATCACCCGCTGCATTTCTTCCCGCCTCGCTGGGTTCCGGCCCTTTTGCTCACTCTTTTCTCTTTGGTGAACTTCTACGTGTTAAGTTCTACACCTCTGTCCTGGGCCCTCTTGTCTGCCGTTCCCTTGGGAATCTTACATATACCTCCCAGACTGCTCACCACCAGACCTTTATCCAGCTGCCTGCTTAACTTACACACTACACAGCTCATAAGCACCTCAAATCTAAACTATTAATATAGAAATTTTACGTCTCCTCTTAAAATACTCCTACACTAGTCTTCCCCAGCTTAATAAATTACACCACTTTCTGGCCAACTTCAAGCTAGTAACAGTGGAGGCACCCTTGGGTCCTTTATTCCAAGTATTCCTCATATCTAATAAAAGAGCAAATTCTAATAACCTGGTCTGCCCTCTCACCTGCTTCTCTCCCATGACAATCCTGAACACAGCAACTTAAAAGGATGCATCTGCACCCCTACACTCACATTCTACTGTCCATGCTGGAGCCAGAATACCTTTAAAACATAAGCAGACTGCCTTACCCTCTGCTTGAAAACCTTTGAAAGTGTCCTGCTGTACTTCAAACCTGAGATTCTACTAGCTTACAAATTCCAGCACAACCTGCTTCTTGCCTAACTCAGCTTCTGTTTATACCACTCCTACTCCACCCTGCTGTCCTACCTTTGGGGTTTTGCTGCTTTTTCACACTCGAGATCACTTCCTCTTGAGGACATGAAATAAACACTCCCTCTGCCTAAACTATGCACTTCTCTAATCTCCGTACTGCTGGTCCTATGTGTTCACTTAGGTCCAGCTTAAAAATCTACTCTTAAAAGTGGTTCCCAAATAATCATTCATTCACTATCGTTTCTTAAAAATTTTCTACGTGGCACTTACTACATTTTCTTTAATTACTATTTCTGTCCCTTCGTTAGAATGTCTACGAGGAGAGAGACATTGTTCTCCTCCAGTGTTATCCTGTGGCTAGACATATGCCTGGAATAATAAGAGCAGCTAATAGTTTCTACATCAGTAACCTGAAATCTTGGCCTAACTGTAGCCACAACCCGGAGAAGGATTATGTAACCAAGTATATGAACAAATTGAAGCAACTTTTAAAACACAGCTGTCCTAAGATAGGAAAACATACTCTTTTCAAACAAACAGAAATATATTTACCTTATTATCACATCATAGGAGTCAATTTTCTCTCCTAATGTCTTATTCTTCAAAATTCCTCCATTACCAACCACCACACACTTTTTACATGGTTCACTATTGGATAAATAGATGAGAAAGATTAAGCAATCTTTTACAAAACAGGGTGATTCTAAGAATCTGTTCCTACTTGCTGGAACTCTGTTTCAAATTTCACTTGTACAAGCAGAAAAAGAGCTAATTATAGCTTGCATTTCTAGATATGATTAGAAATATACAAGACTCAAGGATAATATTCTATAGGAAAAGCATGTCACTGTCCATAAGTATGAACTCTTAGCAGCCCATGTACATTGTTTTTTGATTCTCATAATAATCTATTGAGATAAGCCTGTTACTCTCATATACGCTTCCTCTCATGATTCTGTATGTTGATAAATACAAGTGTGTTTTATGTCACACACAAGGACACTTGGCCAGTGCTACCCATTCCTCTGAGATCCTACCTCTGACGTTCTGTTTTATCTCCTAAGTGTGGAAGTGGATAATTTCTGTCCCTAGAGGCAAGAATTTGTATCTCTTTATCCTCGCTAAACTACTTCCTCATTCACAGGTGTTTTAGAAATCAGTTTGGTTGTTAAATTAAGTGTATAGAAATCATTTTCCTAATTTGTTTCTGGAAAAGCAGGTATCTGTTACTCCAACTTGGAAATAGAGAAATGCACATGCCCCAAACTGCCCATCCAGAAAATAAATTCCAGAATGCCCGAAAACCTGTTAATGAAAAACCTGAAAAGCCCCTGAAATAATAGTGCTAAAATATTATTCTTCCCTCAGTGAAAGGCATGTTTTCATTAAGTCAGGCAAAGCGGGAGACAAGTCACTGTCCTATGTGGAAGGAAACAACATCATCAACAGGAGAAAAGCAAACCCGAGTTCTCCATTTCAAATGATCTATGATGTGTCTTCTTGTCTGAATGCTTTTAGACATTCATTTGTCCTTCGGCAGCCTCATACATTACAACAGATCCCTCCACCTTGTGTAACAACCTAGCGCAGATTCTACTGGCCCTAGTCCCGATACCTGTTACCCCACATGTCTTCTGGCTGAGCCCTGCTGTTGTAGCCTACAAGGAGAAGCTCATTTCCTCAGCCAGTCATTGTCTAGAGATAGTTACGAGTCATCCCGGGCAAGAAGATATAGGAAAGAGATTCTGGTAAAAGAATGATGGGAGCACAATACTTTCTTCCCACCAAACTTTTCCTTTCTGCTTAGACGTGTGGAGATGAAGTTAAAGTGGCTGCAGCCATCTTGCAACTCAGTGAAAAAGAGCTAGAGAAAAACTACCCTAGAGCCCTAACATCACGGATGCGCCCTGCAAACACAGGGAGCGTCACTCAGGTAACTGAACTGGCACTCCCTGGGGCTGGGCAACCCACAGAGCAGCCCCTGGGAGGGCGCCCTGGTACCTGAAGCCACACTTATGCGATCCAGACAACAATAAACAACTTTTCATCAGAAAACTATTACTTGCAGGCAGAAGAAACTAAAATACTGTGCACGAGGTTATGGGCAGAGACCTGACTACTTGTTCTGGTTCCCCTTCTAAAACACTCTGGCCAGATGGCCGACCTCTCTAATCTGAGTTTTCCCTTTCATAGAGTTAGGAAACCACTGATGTCTTGAATATTGTTATTCCATTGGATAGAACTATTTCCTATGACATGTGCGGCACAATTTCTATATCTTTAGCTAACATGTGACCCCAACAGATGGGAGAAAACAGGCAGGGCTGCACTTGGGCCTTTGCCACGTGTGACTCAGTTATGTACTCAAAGCTTCCTCTCACCCTCAATTTCCACTGCAATGTAAAAATCTTGAAAATTAGCAGGGTGATAGAGCAGGAATATAGGCATTGATACTCCCTATAAAGTTAGGACTTTTTAACAAACAGCTGTTAATGTCTAATTCCTTTTAACGTTTTCTGACGGCATACTCCTCGCTCGGCTGGTAACTAATCTAACCCAGTTCCGCTGATGCTGATGTGATGGTGTCTCCTTTAGGTAAGACATCTAGGTGTGGCCACTGAACAATCACTCATGCAACAGGACGGAAGCATTCTTTAAGAAATCTGGCACACTTTCATAATGCAGTGCTAGGGGCTGGGGTAGTCTGTGCTTCGGGGTTTCTGTTTTGGCTGGAGGAGGCTGTATTGCCACCAAGGAAAGGGCACCATCCCGGGGACCAGGGCGCCGGCTGGCGCGAGGGAGCGCAGGGACAGCCAGGGAGGCTCGTGACCGGGGAGTATGAACATATTTCAAGGAGTCCTTTTCTGTATTGCAAGTCCTTTAAAACATCCTCAGTCTGCAGTGAACACGGTAGCTGTGCATCAGCTGTGCTCTAAAGAAGGAACAGAAGGACCCACATGTACGAGAAATCAAGAGCAGCAGTATACAGAAAAGGTGCACCAAGCCCCGCTGTTACAGAACAGTCACTTAACCGGCTTCAGAACCCGCAGGGCAGCACCGAAGCAAACGGGGCCTCAGAGGTAAATGGAGAATGCGGGTACGAACAGCTAGTTGTCCCGCAACCATGTTCCCTTTGTCCTTTACAGTGGGACTCGCTGTTTTCGAAGGGGACACAGAGTCCCCTGCACTAAAGACAATGTTTTCTCACCCGGCTTCCACTAGGTATGACTTTGTGCTGGAGTCCTGTCCAATGGGGTATCATCAGTAGTTGCTATACATGTTTAACAATTACTTCTGGTGGGGACAGGCAGAGGGGGAGAAGCACTGGGGTGTAGAATGTGCCACATCACATGGTGTAAATTCTCTCCCAGGCTGATTTTGAGCTTCTTTCCTGAGGATCCTGAATATGGAACTGGGAAGGAGTGCCTTCATAAGCTGATACCAAGCCAGGCGTGATGGTGCACACCTGTAATCCCAGCCCTCAGGAAGCTGAGATACAAGGATGTCCATGAGTTTGAGCCCGGCATGGAATGCAAAGTGAGTTCAGGATCAGCCTGAACGACACAGTGAGACCGTGTCTCAAAAAAAGGAAAAAAGAAAAACCACGTTGATACCAACTGTCCGTGGCACATCACTAGATGTAATGAAGTATCACGTACGATTTTTGGGAGATGGCCTTAAACAGGAAGAAAAGTCTCCCAGGCTGGGGCTTTGCTCCCTTGTTCCTCCCTGCTGGCAGGAAACTCCAGTTATCACACTGAGTAAGGAGGAAGCCATACACAATGGAACGGTAGTCACGACAGGAACAAGCCAGGCCCCCGGTGACCACAGAGCTGCTGAGCCAGCCCTGCACTGTTTGCCTGCAGACTTCATGTGTACATGAAAACTGAGAAAGAGGAAAACTCACTTCTTGTAAACACAACTGGTAATTCACGTTTTCCCATTTATAGTGGGATCTATCCCAGCTGAGGGCATCATGCATATGGTTCAAGATATCTGAACAAAACTGGTGCTTGCATCTATCTGCAGAATCAAAGGGTTCAGGTTTTGTGAACAGTACTGGTCCCAAGCCATGTGAAACCCTGGTATCTTTTCTAAGTTGTTTCCACTAGACTAGTCCATACCCTCTGTTGGTCCGCAAGCTCTCTGTCATGGGCTGTTCTCATATGTGTCCTCCAAACTACTCCTGACAATCCCTTCTGTTTCACTTATTAAAGAGGTTGATTACTGGGTTCGCAAAAACAACAACAAAATGTCCCAACCTTTCTGGTAGTGCCCAGATAGAGGGAGAATATATTGTAGGGATAAAATTTGAGCTGAAAAATGGACACAGGCTGTCGTAGAAAGTGGGGGCAATCTCAGTGACTAAAGGGCAAAGAGACAGGAGTAGCTACACACAGCAAGAAGGGAAGTAACGTCTGGCCAAGGCACACACAGGTGCTTGAACACCTGCAGGAGGAAGGGTATGAAAGCTACTAAATAAAGCACAGTGCAGTTCTTACATAAAAAACCAGGCAAGAAGGAAACTTCAAGTCACATGCCCTCAAGAAGCTAACAGGAGCACACACTTACAGCACCCGTGATCCTTACAACTATTTGTAGATATCTGCTATAAATATTTAATGAGGGGGCTGGGGATTTAGCTCTGCGGCAAAAGCGCCTGCCTGGCAAGCGCAAGGTCGTGAGTTCGGTTCCCGGTACCGGAGAAAAACCAAAAAAAAAAAAAAAAAAAAAAATTTAATGAATAGCTTTTCTCACTGATAACTCTGGCCCTGGAGTGAGACATCTGGACACTGGAGTTAAGAGCTACCTAGGTTCACCTCCTAGCCCTGGCATTTGCAAGCTACAAAAAACTGTGTATCTTTGCCTACACTCAGTTTCTCTGCTTACAAAATTAAAACTGATTTAAAGCACATATCCCAAAGGTTTATACAAAACAAAGCTTTATAAAACAGAGCTATGTAAAACATTAGGATGGAAAATATATATAGCTGCTCATAGTATACAATCAAAAATTTAACTGATTGGAATTAAAATTATAACAATCTAAAATGAAACAACTCCCATTATAAAATCTACCCTTCATTAATCTTAGTGCCTAAAAGATAAAATCTACCCTAGATAGACCCAAACTATTTGTAGATATTTGCTACAAATATTTAATGATACTTCTAATACTTCTTGAGTGCAATTGTCCACTATTTTTCTCTGTCAACTACCCCACCTTTTGCACCCACCTAGCAGCACCTCTATTCTCTTGGGCAAGAGGCAAAATTCTACCACTTTCTTTTTTGCAGTAGACCAGTCACATCTATAGATCACAACATGCTCAGGCAGGCCCATGGGTCAAGTTGTAAAGTGTAGCTTAAAACTACCTCTGTAAAAGAAGCCTACCTGTCAAGAATTCTGTCTTGGGCAATTCAGTTTCTATGGGCCACCCTGGTAAAAGTTTCTGAAAATTAATTTGCTTTTGTAGTCAGAAAATTTATATCTAAGCAAGCTGCTTCATTTTTAAAAAATATAATTCTCAATGAGAAGGAATAGAGTTGCTTCAAAAACACAGTAATCAACCTCTTTAACAAGTGAAACAGAAGGGACTGTCAGTAGTAGTCTGGAGGACACATATGAGAACAGCCCATGACAGAGAGCTTGCGGACCAACAGAGGGTATGGACTAGTCTAGTGGAAACAACTTAGAAAAGATACCAGGGTTTCACATGGCTTGGGACCAGTACTGTCCACCAGCAAAGCTCTGCAGAATTGTGAGTTAACCAGTTATGTGGTTTCTAAATTAATTTTGCAGTTTCTATGAAACGTAAGAACAAAAATAGCTATTCTGAGTTTTACTTAAGCACAAATGCTATGAATTTCCCCAAGTAAATACATTTTATATATCTCAGGGCACATATTTTGAACCACCTTAGCTAAAGCTTAAAGTCAGAGAGAAGAAAACAAACTCACTTGTCAAACTCATCGAAGAGATCACAACTCTGAAGTTTTGAAAGAGCAAGTCGAAAATATTCCGCTAGAAAACAAATGAAAGGTTGTGAGTAGAAGATAAGCACGGCTCCTTCGTAACCCACCTTGACCCCTCCCCACAAACCCGTTTCCAGCTGCTACTGCCACACTGGATTTTGTGCTCGCTTCAGCAGCACATACACAAACTTGATTTAATCTGTGAGAGGTTAACGATACAAGTGCAATTAGCCCACACGTTCAAAATGCCAAATGCTCTAAAAACACCTCTCAAAAACCCCAAAAGAAATAAAATGCTTTCCCTGAAACCAATCATAAAAAAGTAATAGAAAAACTAGCAGTATCAGATAACTCTGAAATTGACAGAATAATAAGTTTAAATAGACTGTCAGTCCTCCGCAAAATATTTTAATAATACAAGCTAAAAACAAAACAAAAAAACCAAGATTAGTTGAAAAAATGAAATCTAATTCACAGTACTAGAGGCCTATCATCTATTGGGTTTTTAAGGTTACTCCAACATCCAGAACGTAAAGTTCTGTCAAGCTGATCACTTCTCAATGAGCAGCAAGAAGTGTTTTTGCCATTAGCAGAAGGATTAATTCTCTCTAAATACAACCAAATTACATTAAATTTAGTTAAAATATTGATCAAGAAGTTAAAGCTTACTGACAAAATAAAACAGGTGAAGAGGTGGAATGGAAGACAGGGAAGAAGCTCACTGACAGGGTGAGCTACTAATTCTGCAAGGGGACAGTAAGGCACCAGCACTCAAGTAAGTCCAACTGAGCAGGATAAAGTAAAACAGTTTTTCAGGACAACCAAAATCTACATTTTTTATTCTTTGATTCCATTCTGCCTCAAAGAGAGTGGATGTTTATGTTTTAAAATATAACTCCCTTCATTCCATCTCAAAACTAATATCCCTTAAGAATCATGAGGAAGGAGAAAGATTAAAATGCTTTAAACGTATATAAACATGGTTCTCATCAAATACTGCTTAAATTTAACAGGACAAGGTAAAAATAATACTACTGACCTGATGTTTTTATCCCATAGGGCAAATAGAATTTATTGCTACCAGAAATGGAAGCAATCTTTTTAAAATCAGCTGTACACAGAAAAGGGTGAAAGTGAGGAAACCTGGAAAGGAACAATAATGAATGATTATATCAAATGCCTACTATATTTTCAGGCTTTTAAGATCACAATTAAAAGTAACTAATATATAGATCATGTTGCATAATTATTTTAAAATTCCTGAAAAATGATTTAAAACATTATTTAAATTATACACATGAGATATGCAATTGAACTACATGCTGGAATGGAAATACTTCCCAGGTGCTAATAATTTTAAAAATTATCATATATATGAAACGTTAACTATAAAAGCAAAAATATATAGAAAGTCAGATGCCACTAGAACCCAACTCTTTTCTAAGGTTGTTAGGGTTAGAGAGGAAATTTGATGAACCGAGGAAAAGCTCTGCTTCTGGGGCAGTTCTACCTCGTTTTTTAGTGCCTGGTAAAAAGTATGATGTGTACCAAATGACTGAATGAATTTCAACTCTGAATCAATTTTTATTAAGTAGAATATGATTAAAGAGAAGCATCTTAAAGAGCCATATTAAAATGCTACTTAAATGCTATTTCCCCACCAGAAGACGACTCTGGTCAGATGCTGCAGGACAGATCTAGACATTCCTCACCACAGTCCCCACATCCCATCTTCCCTGACATACCAGTTCTGTGCTTAGTCTGAAAGCTGCAAGTAGATATCAGATTGGTGCTGGGGCTTCCCAGGGACAAAACAAAAATAAATAGCAATAGAACAAGAGTGAAGTAGCTCCAGTTGTTTCTTGGTTTTTTTGTTGTTTTTGTTTTTGTCTTTTTAAGACTGGGCTTCACTACATAGTTCAGGTTGAACTCATGTTGTAGCCCAGGGTAGCCTTGAACTCACAGTGATCCTCTCTCCTCAGCTTCCCAAGTGCTGGGATTACAGGTGTGCATTACCACACTTGGCCTAAAATAACTCAGTTTTACCCTGGCTTGGTTGCTTGTGAGCCACTAAACTTGGGCAAATAATTGAAGTTCAATGTTGGCAAAGGTGAATACGAACTGACATCGCACCCAAGTGAAGAAAACGTGGCCCTCCTCGCCCTAAGTGTGCCGCATGTCTCAGATTTCAGTTGTGCTACTGGCAGCAGATGCAGGGTCAGACAGCCCGCAGAGGTCATTTCTGTATCAGTGCTGGCCCCTTAAGTTCAACATCTGCTTTGGAAGGAGAACGTATCCGGTCATCTGATTCAAGCGTGAGAGACTTCCTGGGAAAAACCATAACCTAGATCACTGCACCAATAAAGCGCTGTTATTCTTTGGAGTTAGAAAGGCAGTCTCTGACATTACGAGTGGTCAGTGTCTGTTTCCAGTCTGATCTTGTCCTTGGTAAAGGACATTTTACTTCTGAATAAAATAATCTGAAAAGCAAGGCATCATGTCTCAGACACAGCAAGTGCTCAATAAGCATTAGTTTTATCTGTAATAATTACATTAATTATATTTATTACAGTGTAGTGTATTACATTATAGCACGTTGTATCACATTACATTCTGGGATTGTCATTCCTGCAAATGTCTCGTAAGGTAGGTGCGGTAACTAATCTATGTCAAGAGAAACACCGAAGCTACGAGAAGGGAAGTAACCTGTGTCACCCACAGATGACAAGGCTGCAGTCCCCAGGAGGCAGGCCTAATTCTAAGGGAAGGCATCCTCTTCATGCCCTTCCAGGCTTCTGAGCACAGCGTCTCCATTGTTCCTGGGTTTCCTCTCTCTCTGAGAAAGAGGCACACTCCAGGGGACTGTCTGCAAAGAATACGGGTTGCACTGCGAACACAAATCTACTCGTCCCTTCAACTCCAACAGCAGCACAGTCCCGAGTCGCTGCAGTGCAGCGTCCTGCAGTGCAAGAAGGGCCGCCGGGTCACAGTGCACAGCTGGCAGTGGGGAGAAAGACGGGGAATTCTGCTGAGAAGCAGGAGCTGGGACACCCAGACTCGGCTCCGGTGGCCCCTGAAAGACAGTCTCAGCCCTAAATACAAAGGACTGGAAGCACCCTGCGGGGCTGCAACAAGCAGAGTAGCCTTAGCCCAGCAGTGTAAAAAGGCAAGCAGCCCCGGCCTGAGTACAGTAAGGGCACTCGCCCTGTCCAACAAGCAGCGTGTAAGAGGAGTCAGTGGTGTGGAACAGAGGCAGCTGTGCAAGGTCCACAAGCAGCCAACCGTACACAGGTCTTGGAGCAACCCTTGGCTTGTCCTACCCGAGGGCACCACAGCAACTGGGAGAGCGCTGTAGGGGCAATCACGGTGAGAAGTGGACATGCAGAATGCCGTTTGGCCTAAGACACCTCCCCACAACCAGAGGCCAAGATCAGCTCTACACCCAGCACAAATCCTACTGCAAACTTGGTGGGACTCCATGGCACATTTCAGGGATCCAACCTGGACATTACCACAGAACTGTGGATAATGGACGGACTTCATTATTTTTCTTTTTCCTTGTTTGTTTGACTGGTTTTCCTTTTTCTGCTGGTTGGGTTTTTTTTGTTGTTGCTGTTGTTTGACTATTTACATTTCTTATCTTTTTGTTTTCTTGTATTTGTCTTTTTTCTTCCTTTCCTCAACTATCTTGATTTTTATGACATTTTCATGTGAGTGAACCCTACCTTTTCTCTTTCTGGTTTGCTTCAATATTCTTTTGCTTTCGTGTGCTCTTCTCCAGTTTCCCAAAACCTGGGTGATCATCCTTTGCCCTCCAGCCTTGCTTCTACTATATTTGTCCTCATTCATTCCTGTATGTTGTCCCCTATCCCTCTTAAGTGCCCCCACACACACATCAGGTAAAGATTGCTCTACTAAGGAGAAACACACTGCATACAAGTTCCTGGTATATGATGGTTTCTGTTATGTAACTACAGAAATTGCTGCTGTAGTTTAAGATACCAAGTTAATAGTTCCCACAATTTGGCAGTAGTGATGCTGTGCTTGATGCTATTGTTATTACTAACAATGCTACTTCAGCTAGGATGTCAAGCCCGTTATAATCAGGTTTTCACCCTTTTATGATAACACTGTGATTGTCTGGGGCCATAATTATCACCACAGTCCAGTACCAAAGGACTGGGTGCTAAACATAATAGATAGCAACATCTCATCTTTAATTAATTGTGAAGGTAGGATCTTGGGATAGACACAAAGATCAAGAACCACCTACACCTAGAAGATACCTATGAGGAATACACTTCCTAAAGAAGCCTTGATACTAGTGATAAAGCTATCTACCATAAGAAATCTACAACCATCAACAAAGAAAAAAAAACAAAACAGAAAATAGAAAATGACAGATGCCAAAGCAAAACGAAACCCCAGACCTGCACCCCACCCTGGAGAAGTACAGAGCACAATGCAACAGAGAAAATCGGAAGCCACTCACTGGAGATTTCAGGAATGATAACAACAGAAGTGAAAAAACCAAATGGATGAAGATAAATAAAAATAATGCCCCAGGTTTAAAAAAAAAGATGATCAAAATAAAAGACATTAGAACAAACAGATTTTTAAAATACAGGAGCTTAGGAAAACAATGAAAACTGTAAGTGCCAAACATTTATAGAAAGAAATGAAATCCATGAAATATATCCAAATAGATATGCAGGAGATTAAAATTCCCATTGAAAGTATGCACAGCAGATCGAACAAAGGCAAGGATAGATTATCGATTCTAAATGACACAACTGTAGTTAGCGACCTTCAAAAGAAAGGTATCTTAAAAATACCAAGGGACCATTAAAAATCAATCCAACAATCACAAGATGAAGCAAAGAAGAACAATGTAAGAATGACTAGAATCACTGAGAAGGATGGATACAGCACAAATGCCTAAAAACCTCTTCACAGAATTGATGGTAGGAAACTTCCCAAACGTAGATAAAGAATTTGACATACAAATCAGCAAAGCACATAGAACTCCAAATAGCAATAAAAAAAAAATGTACACCAGGGCATATAATAATCAACATTCCAGAAAGGTGGCACAAGAACAGAATATTAAACGTGGTTAGAGAAAAACAAATCACCTATAAAGAAAAGCCCATCAGAACCACATTGGACTTGTCAAAACAAACTCTCAAATCCAGAAGAGCTTGGAGTGAGGTATTTCAAGCCCTAAAAGAAAAAACCAAGATTGATGTATTCTTGAAAACTATCTTTCAAAATCAATGGAAAAATAAGATACTTGCAAGACAAACAACATCTAAAGAAAGTCATGACCATTAAAACCAACTCTCCAAAATGCTGTGAAGAATAGTTTAGAAAGAGATAGCAAAGACCACAATCCCCATAATACCACTGGAAAGAAGCCAACAGGCAGGGAAAGCAATTAAACAGGAAAGACAGGAAGCCAACAATAAGAAAATAATATGAGAAAGACAAGCCAATATCTATTACATTACAGCCATCAATATACATGGTTCAATTCATCAATAAAAACAAACACTGGCAGAATGGATCAAGAAACAGGACCCAATAATATGATGCATAAAAGAAACACATTTAACTCAAAAAGAAATTCACAGACTAAAAGTCAAAGGATGGAAAACAATGTAACAGAAACGCTGAAAAAAAGCAGGGGTAGCTATTCTATTTGCAGATAATGTGAATTTCAAGTACAGACTTCTCAAAAGAGACAAAGAAGGTCACTACATACTTGTTAAGGGAAAACTCCAAGAACAGATAACAATCATAACTATATATGCACCAAATACTGTTGCACCTAATTACATAAAACAATCATTTTTGACATGAAAAATCCAATGAGCACTAACATTGTACTGGTGGACATTAATATCACATTGTCACAAATAACACAGATCAACTAGACAAAAAGTCAGCAAAGAAATATCCGAACAGAACCAACCTGTGAACACGTGGACTTACTAGATATCTACAGAGTGTTCCACCCTACAACAGAATATACAATCCTTTCACATGCACATGGGATGTTGTCCAAAACAGACCACATACTACTTCACAGAACACACATAAATAAATGCAGAGAAACTGAAACTATTTGATGCATATTATCTCACCACACTGCAATGAAAATGGAAATCAATGGCAAAAGAAACCACAAAAACTACATAAACACATGGAAATTAAACAACACCCTCCTGAACAACCAACGGATCACAGAGGAAATTAAAGAAACTAAATAGTACCTACAATTAACTGATAATGCTGATAAAACATACCACAATTTACTAAATGCATGGAAAAAGTCCTAAGAGGGTAATTTATAGTGGTTAATTCTCATATCACAAAAACAGAATGAGTTTCTCCCTAATGAACACACAGGCAAAAAAACCTCAATAACATAGCGGCAAGCAGAATGCAGTAAATTATTAAGCAGATTATACACCATGACTAAGTAATATTTATTCCAGGGATGCAGGGATGGTTCAAAATACACAAAACAACAAATGCATTATACCATATCAACAGAGTCAATGACAAAAATCACATGATGATCTCAACAGAGACAGAACAATCATTTGACAAAGTCCAACACCCTTCATGATAAAAACCCTACAAAGAATTGGAATAGATGGTCTTTATGTCAATCCGATAAAAGCCACCTATGACACACCAAAAGCCAACATCATACTAAGTGTAAAAACCTGAAAGGTTTCATTCTAAAATCAGGAATAAGACAAGGACGTCCACTATCACCACTCCTATTTAATATAGTTTAGGAACATTAGCCAGAGCAATTAGACAAGAGAAACAAATAAAAGGAATAAGGATAGCAAAGGAAGAAGCTAAATTGTCATTATTTGCAGATGACATGATGCTTTATGTAGAAGAACCCAAAAACTCCACCACAGGATTTATAGATTTAATAACCAAACCCAGTAGTATAGCTGAATACAAAGTCAGCACTCAAAAGTCAATAGCATTCCTGTACACAAACAACAAACTCAATGATAGAGAAATTAGGGAAACCACACCATTCACAATAACATCCAAAAAAAAAAATATTTAGGAATCTATTTAACAAAGGATTTAAACAATCTATATATTGAAAATTACAGTACTCCGAAAAGGAATTCAGAAAATGCAAAGTTATCTCTTGCTCATGGGTAGGAAGAACATACTGAAAATGGCCATACTCCCAAAACTGTTATACAGATGTAATGCAATCCCAATCAAAATACCATTAGCATACCTTACAGAACTAGACAAAATATTCCTAAAATGTATTTGGAACAGAAGAGTCCTAGAATATCAAAAATATTTCTTGGCAAAAAAGGCAAGGCAGGGGCATCACAATCTCTGACTTGAAATTATACTACAAAGCTACTGTGATAAAATCAGCATGGTATTTGTTATGGTTTGTGTCTGCATGTCCCCCCAAATCCTCATGCAGTCATGGGGTGGGCTTCTATTACAGATTTTTGATTGATCCATAGTCCAGTGCTGGGATTATGTGTGTGAGTGCTACACCCGCCCTGGGGCAGATAGTTTGCTTACAGTGTAAGAGAGGGAAAGAGGCTGCTTGTCACGGCTTCCCCTTTTTGCTTTTGTTGCTTTGCTGTGAACAGTTGCCCTCTGCCATGTGCCACTCTGCCTTGGAGCCAGCCAAGTATGGACTGATCTCCATGAACTGTGAGCTAAATAAACTTTCCTTCCTTAATTTTGTGGGCTGGGCATTTTGACCCAGCAACAAGAGAAAAGTACTTAAGATAGTACTACCAAAAACCAGACCTGAGGATCAATGGAACAGATTAGAAGATGCAGACAGAACTCAAACACATTCAGCCATCTTATGTTTGACAAAGGGGCCAGATGTCCACTGGAAGAAACAAAGATAGCCTCTGTAATAAGTGGTGCTGCAAAAACTGGTTTTTCACATGCCAAGGATAAAAACTAGACCCATGTCTATCACCATGCACTAAACTAGTCAAAATGGATCAAAGATCTAAATATTAAAACAGAAACTTTAAATCTGCTGGAAGAGAGAATAGGTAGCACACTTGAAGACATGGGTGTAGGCAAAGATTTCATGAAGAAAACCCTGTCACATGGGGAAACACTACAAGGAATCAACAACTGGGACCTCACTGTATTAAAAAGCTTTTGGACAGCAACACAAATCATCAACAAAGTGAAAAGATTATGCACACAGTGGGAAAAAATTTTCACCAGCTGTCTCTCAAAGGACTAATACCTAGAACACATAAAGAACTGAAAAAAATCAGATTCCCCAAATTTAAAGATCCAATCAAAAACGGGCACCTGAGATGAATATACACTTCTCAGGAAAAGTACAAAAGGCATATAAATATAGGAAAAAATGTTCAACATGATTGGTCATTTGAAAGATGCAAATTAAAACAACACTGAGATTCCCTCTCACCCCAGAAAGAATATCTATCATCAAGAAATCAACCCATAACAAATGCTGGTGGGGCTGTGGGAAAAAGGAACCCTCTCCACAGTGGTACAACCACTATGGAAATCAGTGTGGAGATTCCTAAAAAAACTAGGATTGCAGGTCCCATTTGACCCAGCTATACTCCTTCTGTGTATTTTCCCAGAAGAATTAAAGACTTCATACCACAGCAATATATGTGCACCCATATTTATAGCAGTACAGTTTGTAATAGGTAAATCTTGGAAACAATCCAAATGCCCATTAACCAAGAAATGGATAAAAAAGATGTGGTATTTTTATTCAATGGAATAGTACTCAGCCATAAGGAAGGACAAACTTGAGACATTTCTAGGCAAATGGATGCACCTTAAGACCACACTCAAGTGAAATAAATCAGACACACCTGTGTCAGTATCGCATCATCTCCCTGGGGTGAGAAACTGAAAGAGTAGATAAGGACCAAAATGTATAATAGATACTGTGAACTAGGAAGAAAGTGTTTGAAAGCAAAGAGGAACTAGGGAGGGAGACCGAGGGACATAAGGAAGGGAAAAGAAAAAAGATTAAAGAAGGATAAAATGGAGACAAAGCTTTGTAAATGAAGAAAAGGGGGTTGAAGGGAGGGAAGGGGATTAGGAAAAAAAGGAATCAAGATAGAGCATACACAGGTACAAATTTCCTATGATAAATATTATCATTGTGTATACCTAAATTGTACCAATAAACTTAATTTAAATAAACTGCAAATTTACACACTTGGTAATCACTCTTGCATAAATAAATACTTTAACCTTTTTTGGGTTTTCTCAGAAAGGAAAATAGCTTTTCCACTAAAGCTATAGAGTGCCTTCATTCTAGAGTAACATTTTAACCTGTCACCCACCACCTATGTGTGGCTTGTGCAATCAGCTGTGTGAATCATGACCAGTATATTTTTAAACTGAGAACAGAACTGAACATACTATATCTTGAGCAGTAATAGTAAAACTTTTTTTCTTCTTATAACATGTGTACTATGTTTCAAAGTAAAATGTATTTATTAGTATATGAATCATGATTTTTAAAAACAATCTTAAAATGTTCTAGTTTTGCAGTGCTCCTAAGGACACATAGCCAGGGATAGACTACACATAGCCATAGGGTCACATGCAAAATGTTGTACCCATACTTTTCTAGACAGATGACTGATTTTATAGGAATCTGTAGCCATAAAAGGTTAAGAATTTATAATGGAAAAATACAGTGAAATAATAAATTATGAATTCTGACTGGTTAATGAAAGAAATGCTAAAAAGTTTATACCTTTCTACACAATTAGACATGTCTAGACCAGATGGACATTTTTTTCTTGTTATCTAAAATAATTTTTATCAGCAGTTTGTCAAAACTGAAGTAAAAAGGAAAAGAATATTTATGGATAGAAAAGTAAACTATTTACTAGTCCTGACAACCACAATATATAGTCACTATGTAGTGTACACAGATTATTATCTGCAGTCTATGTAGTTTACCAAAAGTCAGTAAAAACCAGAGAAAATTACTCATCATAAGCTTTAAACCAGAGCCAAGGAAAAAGAAACCATACAGCAGTAAGACTGAAAAGTAGCACAGGATCAGGGGCATGAACAAATCCTAAAGAACAGCTTTTTTATGACCGATATAAATAAGACCTCTCTAACCTCACCTGTGTGAAAAGAATAATGGTTTACTTGAATTCTCTGATGCCTGTTCTTAAAATCTATGCAGAGTACCAACCAAGAGCATAAGAAGAGGTAAGATGGTCAAGCTCTTTCTTAAAATGAGTGTTTGGAGCTGGGGATATAGCTCAGTGGCACAGCGCCTGCCTGGCAAGCGTGAGGTCTTCAGTTCAATTCCCGGTACCCCAAAAATAAATAAATAAATAAATAAATAAAATAAAATAAGGTGTTTGCTTTATGCTGCTAAGATTTGTATGAAAAAGGCAAATGGGAAAGATGATCAGAAACACATTTTTAGACATTTTGTGTGCCACATTTTGTTGGGTATATTCTTACCTTAGAAGAGAGGCAAAAGCTGGCTTTGATAAACAAGGCTGGATCTTATATCTCTGCTTCATTTCCAGAGGTGGTACCCTAGGAGACAAAAATAGTCAGAAACTAGAACTGGGCAGCCTGCCCAAAGGGAAGCAAATTCCCTGGGAACCTACTCCCAGCTGCCACGGACAGGCTTCCCAGGCAGCAAATAAAACTCCTCCCTGTGCCCCCGAGATATGACAGGACCTTCTCCAAGTCCTGCACACTTGAGGATTTGTGAGTATAAGGCAAGGAGAGTGGAAAAAGCCAAGGTGACTCTCGGACCAGAAATTCAAAGGATTCTCAGAGAAGGGTAGGGTTACTGCACCGTGGAATTTAAAAACTAGGTTCCATTTTAACCAGGTTCTTTGAAAAGCTGAGAAACCAATCATACCCTAAGCGCAAATAGTTGGCATGCTTTGTGGCATGCCCGGGACACTTACAAACACCACAGAAACACCTGATCTGAGCAGATCCAACAGACCTACGCTTTGTGTTCTTGGGGGCTCCAAGATCACACCACTTACGTCTTACCTAACCCTCCTGTATCTGTGGCCCAGGTGAGCCCTGTGTGACCCCTGAATGGATTACTTGTCTCCACAATTTAAAAGGGTTTTGTGAAACTCGACAGAGCACAGGAACAAAAACAGGTCAAGGAGGCAGGAAGGCAGGATCCAGAGTTAGTCAGGAAAGAGGAAAAGAGCTTACTATGAGAACTTTAGATGATAATCAATTATGTAAATGCTAATAGTTTTAAAAACTTAATATTAACTTCTATAATCATCAGGGTTCAAACTGCAAGAAAAAGACTAAAGCCTTCACGGAGAGACACAATTTACAATACTACAAATACAAAACTCTCGAGGTTAGAACTGCTAGTTCTCCAAAGTAGGAGGCTTCTAAAGTTCTTATGCAGGAATACATCTTACAGATGCAATAAACAGCAAGGACCTTCCGGTTTCTATTTAAGGAAGACACACAAACATGCTGCACTAGCTCACCAGACCACACTGAATGGTATTTAGAGGACAAAATGAGGTATAGTATTTGATTTTAAGATACTGAGGAGACAAACTGTGGGCAGCTTCTAAAGCACAGACAATCATCTGTCATAAACAGTTTACGGAATCAAGTTCACGTGCCAACACTTACCGAGGTAACTTCCTAGGGCACTCTCTGTGAATGGAGCAATGTGTTGGCTCAGTCTGGCCATTCCCCAAATTCTGATGACAAACGACTGCTGCATTCAGACCCACTTTATTAGCTTTTCTTTTTTTACCATTTCCTCTGTGACAAGCAGTAGGATCTCAAGGAAAGCAGCAATTCAGTAAGCGCTCTTTTCTTGTTTCTGTCTTTCACTGCCAGGTGTGGCACAGATGGGGGACAGACCCCTGTGATATAATACTCGTTGAACGTATAATCGGACTTCAAAGCTCCCTAGCACAACATTTGGGTCCAAATCCTCAAGCTCTAGAATCAAACCCAGTCATCTACCTGAGACGGGTTTTTTTCCTAGTACCAATTTACCTAGCTTCCTTCCATGAAAAGCATTACAAATTTTTAATGACAAAATTAAATACAGAAGAATCAATTTTTCATCTAGTGTGTATAAGCCAGAAACATAATCTAAGATCTGCTATTGAAACGCTGACATAGAATATGGACCTTTTGTCTAAGACAGCTGTCATATGATTTATTTTGATTTAATTTTATATTGCCATCCATTTACCATTAAATGTCATCAAAACTATTCCTACCCAAAGGACTGAAAATGAGGAAGAGGGTTGAAAAAAACTTACTTATAGAGGATTTTTCTGCAGTAAAATTATCTGTGCCTCTTCCAAGTTTTGTAAGTGGTATTTTAAGTCAAAGCTATTTTTAAAAAGGCATACATCAATCACCAGATATTTTTAAATAAAGGAAACTAATCTGTAGCATGTGGATTTTACCAACATTCTCTTACGCATGCATGTTAGGCTCTAAGAGTCGAATGCCACCGAGTCCAAGAATTACTGGAGAAAAATTACTACAGTAAGTTCCCAACAAACAAGTTCCTTTCCAGGAGAACGTTCGTAAGTCAGATTCGTTCCTCAGGCTGACAGAGTCTCACACACCTCTGACACGAACGTACAATGTGTGCTGCTTTGCACCTCCTGCCTGTCCCTCCACATCACCACTGCTCTTCTGTTGCTTCCAGACGTCACGGGCTCTGACTGAGCACTGTCCTGCTGTACACACGGCACTGTGCAGTGAGCACACAGCAGCACAGCTGTGACAGACACATGGCAGCTACTTCTGCAGTCTGCTCACATCTAGAGAAGTCTGGGATGCCAAACCCATTCCTATCTGTCAAAGTGTGCACCTGAAAGTTCGTAAGTCAGCGACCTGCTGCATATGAAGAGACTGATATGTCCCAAAGATGCTCAGCACGACTACTTCACTGAACAGTGAATAAGAACCAGGCTTACTTATCAGTTTTTGAATTGTTAAGAGAGATAGCTGGGTATGCCTGTGGCTCACGCCAGTGATGCACGCCTGTAATCCCAGCTACTCAGAAGACTGAGGCAGGCGGATACTAAATTTGAGGCCAGCTTTGGCAACTTAACAAGACCCTATATCAACACAAAGTAAAAGCACTGGGGGTGTAATTCAGTAGACCACTTGCCTAGTATGCATGAAGCTTTGGGTTTAATCGCCAGAACTGACAAAAATAAAAACAAATAAATTGTTAGTGATACAATCTATAGGATACTAGAATGTGAGACTCCCAATTTATAACAGAAAACTAGACCAGATTTAAAATGTTACAATGTTTCAAGGTGGTTTTTTTTTTTATATATAGGTCCTTCTAATATTAGTGTACATGTGAAAGACTAGTTTGGGAATTATGTTTAATAGCAAAAATGGAACTTACCAATAAACATTTGTTCCCCATAATATACAGTGCAACACATAATAGAGGAAGACAGCGCTCAGGAACATGGCCACAAGGTAGCCTCTCATGGCTCGTCCACCTGCAGTACAGAGAGGGAAGTCCAAGGAAGGGGTCTATCACACAGACGCATTTTTAAAATGAGTCAAATGTGTATAAACTATAGCAAATAAACACACAGAAGAGAATGGAAGAAAATAAGACTTGTAATTCTGAAAATATTTATTAAACGTGCAGAGAAGAGAATACTTTTTTCTGTCTCTCCTCTTAACACAAACATGATGTGTTTTCAGAACAATATCTTATTCTCTCATCTCAAAGCTAGGGACTTCCTTACAACTTCCCATCTTAGATAAAAACAAAGAATTTTCCTTCAGAACAAAATTTTACACCTCTACTCTATCTAAAACTTTTTCCAGCAACACTGAAGAATACCCATTTTCTTGCTCTCAACAGAAAGTGAATATATACCTGCAGATGCGAATAAACATTTCTACAATGCCTGACATTTATGTTATATAACTTTAGAGTCCTAAGTTAGAAAAACAAAAAACTAATGAAAATATTTCCAACATACTCAATTTCTATACATTTTGAGATGTACCTACTTGATCTTTTGATATAGGTATATTTAGCTAATTACTTGCTTATTTTGACACTAAACCAGTGGTGCCGTGTTTAGTGCACATTTGTAGACAAGACAAAAATCTGGAGGAATACAATCCTCTCTAGAATGTAAATGCAAAAAAAACTTTATTTTTTTAAACTCTATTATTTTTAAAACCTCAAAAACATGTGCATTTAGTACCCCCCCCCGTTTTGCTTCGAAGCAGAAATGTAAAACCCATACTTTCATATGTAATGCAATGCAAAAGACAAACTGAATAAACGGTTCTGTGCTAGATCCTGTATTTCAATGTCTGTGACTTTGAACAGGTACACTACTCTCTGCTTGCTTACCAAGCTTCTGTTTCACCTGAACAAGTGCATCTGTCACTCTTTTCACTCCTCTCCATGTCTATTAACTTTGGTCGAGGCACTGCCGCTGAGAAAGTACAAGTCTGGCCAGCCATATTTTTAAATAATGTAATATTGCCTCCCCTTTAATGATAAATTCAAACAGAAAACTTAAACCACACCCTTGCCTTCTGAAATAGAATACACTAAACAAAATTGCTTTTCTTGATAATTTAGGGTCATCTTAACAAATATCACAATCATGCTGTGCTTTTTAGAGCTCAGACTGCACCAAACCAGGGCATGGAGCTATTTGCTAAGCAATCCTACACTGTAGTGATTATCTGGTTGCTCTTCTCTTACTGTCAGCAATTACTCAGAGTAGTCACCACTCCCAGATGCCACTACAATAAATTAGTCAGAAATGATGGCCACGTCAGGAGAAAACAAATACACAAGCAAGTTAAATGAGAAAACCTTGGTTTGCACATACTTCTACTTCAGTATACGTAATTCCTATGAAGAGTCAGCACTGGTTGCCGAATCAGAAGACATGACTCACAGCCTGAATCCACATGATGCTTGGGGGTGAGGGTGCTTAGGTCCATCAATTTGCTTGCTGCAACCTGAGTGGCCTCACATGTTTACAGCTGAGAATATACCCTGCACCTCACTGGGTTATTACGCTGTCGTGGAAAGCAAGCCACCATGGGCCAAAACAGTCACCAGATGACTTGCTTAAACATTCAGACTGAACATTTAAATTTCCACTAAGAATAACATAATTTACGCAAATAATAAATAAGGATGCAAGTTCCCACTGTCAGCAAATTTTTCAAAAATGTATTTACATCTAAGATAAAACTATGTAAAAGACTAAAATATATCTTTACATCTAAGTGTGTATATCTAAAGCCCTAGAGAAAGAGTTCAGTTATTTGTACCTCAGTTTGCTTACCTACCCCCAAAACACACTCCTTGGGCAATCTGTGATTTCACAGAGCACAGAGCTATGGGTGAGATTTTTGATGGTTGTTGTTTTTCATTCACTAATACGTAAAGAAAGCAAAAAAGTAAGAAAGAACATTCTTTTTCCTTCAAAAAGTAAAATGACTGCATACAACAAGTGGAAAAACTTTAAGAAGCTGCACCACTCTCTAGCACTTCGTGGCCAAAATCAAAGCTTTGATATTCACGTTGCAAAGTAGACCAGGGCCAGCCAGGATATCCCTCGATAAACACGTATGCTTGCCCTGTGCGCTCACAGGAAAAGCCTCCCACAAACAATGAATTCTCTAACTCTGATTCTGTAAAATGACCATTTTGCTTTGAGTAAAAGCATTCAAAGGAAAACCAGCTTGATTTAACACAGGGCACATGATTTTAAAAACACAGTCTCAATTACCAACACACACAAATTTGAAGACAGTGATACTGACCATGACAGACGTTAGCTTTTCGGTTGCTGATGCTCAAAACCAGGGATTCTACAACATTCTTTACCAAGTTTATCAAAAAGCAATTATTCCTCTAAAGTGTGCATACAAGACAGTGAAGGAGAGCAGAACCCACTGGCAGAAGTCAAATGTTCATTTCTTCTAAAACTCTGACCTGTAACCCAGTGTATGAGTAACCTATATAAGCTAAATTAAGCTCAATCATGGCAACCACTTTTTCCTCTTTAATATTGCAAGTATACTCTATTTATGAGGACTTTGAAGTTCACAATAAGTTTGCATGTCCAACATTTCACATAAGACTCAAAATAGGCACGTTAAATGAGTGTGGGGGTACTTGTCTTTTGACAAATGAGGAAACTGAAGTTTTCTACCACTGTCTCAGATCACACAGTTTACGGGAGACAAAAACAAACTTAGAGTCTGATCATTTCTTAGCATGCTATTTCTAGTGTCATCCTGCTATCTTAAAAGACATGAGGGGGCACCCAAAGGACGTCTAATCTAAGCCTTTCTTGTGGTAATCTTGGTCCCTAGAGGGAACACTGAAGGGGAGGGTGCTCTAAGACAGTATTCAAAGGTTAGCACCAGCACGTGATCAGCATGAGCATTCCTAGCCAGATGTAGTGGCACACACTTGTAACCCCAGCACTAGGGAGGTACAGGCAGAGACAGGAGGATTGCTCTAACTTCGAGCAGGACCAGGGCTACACAGGACCAGCCTAAACTATATCTAAACTACATAGGGAGATGTGGTCTCAAAAAAAAAAAAAAAAAAAAAGAGGCACATTCTTAAGGCCCTGCAAGCATCTTCCAATTTGGTTCTTATGCAAATAAAAGTTTGAGAATCGGTGCTCTGGAATATATTACAGAACTGTAGAAGGGACATGTAATGTAACAGTAGGTAATCTAACAACAGCGCAAGTACCGTGACAGTAAGCGCTGTCTGATTTCTCTATGATTTTATTTCTATTGCACAAAGATGCTAAGTAGATAGTTGCTGAATACAGTTACAGGTCCTTGGACTAATCTGCTCTGGATTAACTTTTTTTAACCAAAACCAGCCAATGAATAAGGGCTGTAATGGTTGATTTGAATGACTGAGACATATGAGTGGCTACCATGCACCGAAGCATATAACAAATGCTTCAAATAGATTATCGCATATCATGCTGACAACCACCCTGTGAGGGAAGTAGTGAAGTTCTGGTTCACATTTTAGACATGACTTTCCTGAGCTGACAAGTAACAGGACTAGGACTCCAATCCAAATCTACCCGATCTGAAGTCTCTGCATTGTACTGACCTTCCTAGACAGTAGAAGCGCAGCTTCCTAAACATTTTCTGAGTTGTTGTATGCAGTCATTTTACTTTTTAAAGGAAAAAAGAATGTTCTTTCTTACTTTTTTGCTTTCTTTATATATTAGTGAATGAAAAACAACAAAACAACAAAATCTCACCCATGACTCTGTGGTCTGTAAAATCACAGATTGCCCAAGGAGTGTGTTTTGAGGGTAGGTAAGCAAACTGCGTTACAAACTGAGTTAAGTTTCCACAAATAAGCGCAGGACCATTCTTCTGACACCAGACTACACATTACAGAACAACTCTCTAATTTGTCAATTCTACCAGCGCCTTAAATGGTATCCATTCAATATAAATTGGGAAAATGGAGAGAAAATGGTAGTGCTTTTAAAATAAATTCTGCTGAAATAAAACCCTATTCCTCCCAACCCTGTCCTTTCTAAACTGCCTCACTCTCCTGGTCAATGTTAGCATTGTTTATAAAAGCAAACATTATGGACTGGTGCTTGAAAAATGGCCAGATTTTTATTTTCAGGCTCTCCTCACGCTTTCTCAAACCAAGGGGAATTTGTTTTCCTAACTAGCTTTCAAAAAAATGTTCAGCAACAATTGTGGAACACTGCTCCAATCACCATATATAAAAACCCAGTGGCTTTCTCCACTAATGTCATACAACACCGTGGAAGAAAGAGCTTTGGCATTTTTTTCAGGTGCTAACCCCTCCTGCCTGGATTCTCTGTCCCATTTCTTCTTGACCTGGTGCAGGCATTCCCTAATGCCTACTTGCAGGTTCCGCCACCCCAGGTTCCGGGACTGATCCTGGTCCAAGGGGAGCGAGCCTAAAGAGCTGTGGACTCAACCGTTTGGTAAGGTTCCTGAGGATCCCATGCTGACCCTGGCCCTCTCATGCACTCAAAGGGGGTTCTAGCAGCTGGGTCTTTAAAGTGTATCACAGCTTTCTCATATCTGCCTTCTCTCAGCCACCTCAGCAGCCCTACAGACAAATTTCCAATTTTTTGGTAACTAGGATCCTAAACCATGTCCCCATGCTCTGTGTGGCAAACCCTTCTTATGCCTATTTCCTCAGTGACACAGGACTTAATCCTTTTACTAGTCTTCTGTCATACCCAGTGTGCTACTGTTTAACAATGTCATGGTTGGTGTCCAGATGTCCCCCCAAAGCCTCATGCAGTCATGGGGCAGGCTTCTAGAGTTTATGATTGGTTCATAGTCCAATGTTGGGATTACGGGTGTGAGTGCAATACCCGCCCTGGGGTGGGTAGTTTGCAAACACTACAAGGGAGGGAAAGAGGCTTGCTCTCCAGCTGCTGCTCCTCCCTTTTGCTCTTATTGCTTTACTGTCTTCCACCAGCATGAACTGCTGCCCTCTGCCATGTGCCACTCTGACTTGGAGCCTGCCAAGTATGGACTGAAACTTTCACAAACTGTGAGCTCAATAAACCTTCCCTTCCTTAATTTTCAGCATCAGGTATTTTGTCTCAACAACAAAAGAAAAGTAACCAAGAACATGCAGTCTAGCTCTCCACAACCCTGTGCACACCTGCATTTCTTCCCCTCAGCCAGATGCCCACGTTCGTGATTCACCTTTCCACCCTACGACGAGGCCCTGCTGACGCCTATGTCCACTCAGCCATCTCAGAGGGCTTCCACTCAGGTTCATCCTGTCCTCAGCTCACAGTAAGCCACACTCAAGGCTGGAACGTGGCCAACAGGTCTTACATCCTGCCCTCCTTCCCCTTGGCAGAGATAGTGTTCAGTTTGTGATTATTCTCTGCAGTCACATACCCATGAGAATAAGCAGAACAAAAGACCTCTAGCTTTAGCTGTGCCCTGACGTCTTGCTTTTGGTCCAGCCCCAAGGTCCTCAAAGCCTAACCCTCTACACCTCACCATTCCACACAGGCCAAGCTTTAATGCAGAAGTGCAGGGTCCCACAGGGACAGACATAAAGGCCTCACTCCTCATCTCACAATTCTTTTTAAAGCATAGTTCTTATTACTAACCGGATGGCCCAAACGTGTGGAGGAAGCCTCTCATACAACAAGGACCTCCATACTCTAAAAGTGATGAGCACGGAAACAACAGCATAGTTCCTTAAGCACTTAGTAAATGCCAGCACAGCACACCCTTCTGCCCATAACAATTAAGTCAAGGGTATTATTACCCCCATGCTAGAGATGTTTAACACCCAAACCAGTGGGCAGAATTCAAACTGAGGTCTAATTTCAAAGCCCATATTTTTAAATTGCGTATTACAGAAAACTATAATTAATGTATTTTTTACTACAACAGTATGAATTTAACTTAATAATACCTTTAAATTCACTTAATAATACCTTTTAAAAATAAAGCAAGGGAGCTTGGATGAAGTAATTCACTGGTAGGGCTTTGCATGCAAGAGGTCATGGGTTCAATCTCTAGCACCAAAACAAAGAAACAAAGGATGATACCTGCTAAATGTATACATTTACTAAAATACACTTATTAGAAACACTAAACTATGTGAAACTATTCAGCTCACAATTAAAGAGATAAACATTAAGGAATCAGGAATCTGGTAGATGAAATTTTCTGCTGCAAGAATCTGAAAATTCTGAATAGTCCATAATTTTAAAAAAAAAAGAATAGCACATGAAGAATTAAATGATATACACTATTATATCCAAAAAAACTTAATTTATGTCTGAAGTTCCAACTGTTGTGATACGATATAAAAATTAAGACAAAAAACCTCTGACATCACTTACTAAATTAACAGAAAATTATAATCTGATTTATGCTTCCCTCCAAAGAATAGATTTAAGAAGTTTCAACAAATTGGACAAGCTGTATAAATCTGACTGATTGCTAAGTACACAGCTGTTTTCTTTCAGCAAGGCAGAAAGGGAACATGCATAATTAACTTTCTTTTCTTTGCCTACCCCAATCCTTCAGCGAATGCAATGATATGCAGCCACACACACCCTTCTCTTTCAGTCTGTCAAGAAAGCTGGTACTTTCACCAGATTGCATTCTGAGCATATGTAGACAGATCTATTCATCTAACGAATCCAAGCTCTCATTGCCAAAACAGATGACCAAGTCTTCCCTCTGAAAATGGGTGTGCTCACTGCAAAGAATACAAAAAGGTCAGAAATTACATTTCAGCAGAATTCTGTTTTTTAATAGCACAGCTGGACACACAAAAATCATTCAGCTAAGAGCAACAACTATACTGCATGCTAAAAATAAATGAGCAAAAGTTCCTGTTTTCAAGATTTCTTACTTTAGATTCAGCCCCCTTGCAAATAAGGAAGCTTTCAAAGGAACTTATGCTCCTCCTGTTTATTCAGGTTTTCTCCCAGGGACCTACTTCTTCTCTTAGAGTGGAAATTTACTCTATTTCCTCACACTGAATAGGTAATAACTATGGCTTTTTTTTTAAATTCACTTCATTGAGATAAATTGTTTATGCAGTAAAATTCACTACCTTCAAGTGTACAATTTGATAAATTTGGAGAATGGATGCAATCATATTGACAATCACCAAAATCATGATATGAAATGTTTCCTTTAACCCAGAAGAGTTCCTTTGCCCCTCTGCAGGAAAACTCACTTTCCCTAGTCAGCATAGTTTGCTTTTGCTAAAAATTTATATAAATATAATCATATAGTATGTATCTTATTTCTGGCCTTTTTCAGTAGGCATAATTCTTTTGAAAAAGTCCATGTTGCAGTTTATACAAAAAGTTTATTTTTTTGTAGCTAAGTGACATACTATTTTGTGGCTATACCATAATGTGTTTATCAATTCACTAGAAAACAGGTATTTAATTTCTTTCCAGTTTTTGGTTAGTGTAAATAAAGCCACACTAAACATTCAAGTCCTATTCTTTAGGTGGAAAAATGTTTTCATGGGTCACAAAGCAAATATATGTTTAACTCTGTATGAAGCCTTATGTTATATTTTGGTGCCTATTTCTGAAAAACAAATGTTTTTCAATCTCTTAGCTAAAATTTTAAAAAATCCTACCTAGCTACTCAAATTATTGACACTACTAAATAACACAGCTTACCAAATTAAGAATCTTAATCTATTAATATCAGTAACAGGTTGTATATGTCTGTGATAAGACATAACTAAAATGTATTCCACGATACGAAGAACAGAGTCCACAGTCTGTTGAAAGAGCCAAGTTAAAGGGGCACCTCAGTTCATGAGCTCAATTCTTCCCACCATTCTGGTCACAAACCAAACTAGATGAGAATCGAATCGAATTCCACGGTTAGGTTCAATGTTGACCCATGGGGAAATCTGATTTTGTTCACATTCAATTTGATTTATGATCAGTTCACCTCAAATTCATGAACCATGGTACCGCTGTATATTAATTTAAAATAATTATCTGTTATAAGAAATAAAGCAAAATATTTTAGACCCTTGTCCTCAAAGTGTGGCCCATGGGCCAACAGCACTGGCACCTGGAAAGGGGGCAGACACACAGCGTCTCAGTGCCACTCTCCGGACTACTCAGTCAGGGCCTGCATTTACCAAGATTCCCTGAGAAACACTGCTGGAAAGGTCAGCAAAGACAGAAACTGATCCCATGAAGCGGACCAGGGTTTCACAGAAAGTACAGGAATTTCTTTGGAGGGGGGGATTATTGTAAGTCCCATGCTGTATTTTTTAAAAGTCTTTAGAGTTTGACCTTTTAAAATTTCCAATTAACAGAATTCTCTCTGAAGAAAGTAGCCAGATTCTCTGAAAATAAATGGCTTTCAGAGAAATTTCCCGAAGGAAATCCTAGGGACTATTTTTGGTTTCACTGGAAGTTCCCTGAACATTGTCCTTCCCACACTATTTTCGGTTTCATCCCTCCCTCTACTCCCAGTATGACTATGACATCACTGGTAGTTTTGAAAGGAAATACTGAGGACTTCTTTCTTCACAACGTACTCACAGGGCATTTATCTGATTGTGCATCTTGTGCTGATTCACCGAAAAATGCCAAACTGACCAAATATTTATAATTGTACTTCCAATTACTGCTATTTACAACTTGGATCTATGAACTACAGATTGTAGAGCTGGAAAGACTGCAGGAGTTGAAAGGATTTAGACACAGCGAGGTTTTATATACTATATTACAAAAGAGGCAGCCAAGATTGTAAAAACTTTTAGAAGTTTTCACAGGTGATCTTGCCATGAAGCAATGGAACTGACAACAAGAGGGCATCTTTTTCTGGGTTTTCTTCAGTACAACTCCTATCTCAGCACAAAGACACCACAGTACAGTAATACCTCAGTTCACAAATGCTTCTGCTAACAAATAATTTGGTTTACAAAGCTGCATTCTGCAAAATTTTGCTTCCATTGGCAAACATGACCACAGACATCTTTCCCACCCAAACACAAATGCAGCTATATTCCCCAAAATCGTGAAACAGGTCTGGAAACCGAGCTACCACTGTACCTGCTTATGTGATGAGTAAATGAACAAGACAGCAGAAGAGTGACTTCATAATACTAAACCAATTCACCTTTATTTTGATCCTCTCTGATCTCTATGGTGTTCAGTTCCTCAACCACATCCCTTTGGCAGTCCCACACTAGCCAAGGCCTCATGGAACTTCTCTGCCTGTGTTTCTGGATTTCTTCTTCCTCCTCTGCCCACCTCTCAGGCAGTGGGTGCTCTCAGGCATTTATCCTGTTTCCAAAGCCCACGTTTTCATCACTTCTCACTTAGTTACTTGGAACAAGCTCTGAACTTCCCCTCACATCAGCCAAGGTGTTAGACCTGGCGTAAAATTCTCAAAGCACAGGTCTCATGTTGTCACCCACCACACAGCAAAACCTTCCAAATCCCCTGTCTGCCAAACAATTATAAAATCACTAAGCCTTGCATTTAAGAGTTCTATAATTTGGCCCTTCTGTTTACAGTCCTTCTCTCCCTCCCTTTACCCTCCTGCTCCTCCCTCTTCTCCTCCTTGTCCTCTTCCTCCTCCTTCTCCTCCATGCAATTTATTCTTTATGTGATCTGCTTGGCAAGCAGACTTCCTCAGTTTGAGTCTCAGCTCTTCCTCTAATTAATTGTATGACCCTGGGATTTCTCTTAACCTCTGTATACCTTGGTTTCCTCTGGGGAATAATGATACTACCTAATAGCGCTCTTGTAAGTAGTAAATATAAAGCAGTAAGTATGTGGCACACTCTTCTGATGTTTTTAATTTTCTTTTAAGACTACTGAAGGTTTAGCTGGGCATACACCAAGGCTTTACTAAAAACCTAGCTTCAAAACATTGTGGTGAAGCTCTTTAAAAAACTGTGTCACTCTATACTAATAGCATCAAAAAATCAAGTTTCCATTACTGTGGTAGCTATTTTTTCTACATATTAATTTTGACATTTCAAATATCTGTGACCAGAAGGTTTACTCATCTGAACATAAAATGAAAGGCATTCAAAATAGCAGTAAGTCTTTGGCAAAACTCTTAAGACTCTATTTCCAGCTATAGAAACCACACCTTTTAGTGCTTTTCCTGAGATGCAGGAAAAACAAACAATAAATCCCAGGTTTATAAACAACATTTCAATTTTATGTCTTAAAGCAAGAAATAAAATCAATTACTTCCAATTAAAGCCAACTAATCTGAACTGGAAAACAGGTTTCCTGTTATAATGAAATGAGAAAGATTCAGTTACTGTGCTACAAGCTTAGAAGCAAATGCTGTGTGGGTCAGCAGGGTTTAACAAGAAAAGGAGGAAGACTAGAGTATTTCTCAGCCCTGGGCTACAGAATGGAGGCAGAATAAATACTGTAACACCTGACAATAAAATTTTATTGAACAATTATATGACAGAACTATTCCAAATGTTTTAGATGTAAAGTTCTTTTAATCCTTAAAACCACCTTGAAAAAGGTGCTGTTGTCATCCTCACACCAACAAAGACGTTAAAGCACAGAAGTCAAAGCCTGCCAAAACAGACCCACATGGTAACAGCGAGCTGCTTCTCAGACCCACACATGCCACAAGCCATGCTCCTCATCCTTATGCATCCTATAGCTACCACAGTAATGGAAATTTACTTCCATCTTCTCAATGCCAGAAAATGTAAAGACTGACAGGAAAGGCAGCTTCATACATCAAAATTACTACAGCTCAGGTTCCATTAAGTTAATAGGCTATTGGTAAGAGGAGATCTGAGGATCTAGCCCTCCCTGCAGCCTAGATTCTTGGTGGTCAAGAATTCTGCAAATCCAGTGGCCAACGACTATGCTAAGGAAGAGCTTTGAAACCATCATGAATATGCTCAGTGTGTATATAAGCAAGAGCTCAACAGACTAAATTCCAAGACCATTATGAGTATCCAAAATTGCCAGTACCACTAAAGAATAATGTCCTCAGTCACCACGTGTCCAAAAAGACCTCCCAACAAGACTAAAATGGACCAAATATGCTAATAGAATAACTGCTCTTGGATAAACTTTAATGAATTGAAAAAACTACGTGGATTCAAGCATACAATGTAGCTAATTCCTAGTGGAAAATGTTCTAGAATGGAACATTTCCTGGTGGAAAATGTTTCTCAGAATAAAACTAATAAACTGATGTCTGAAATTTGTGCATGAGGTTCGTGGAATAATATAAATAATAAACTTAAAAGTTAATTAGGGTACTTTGTGGAACTGCCATTAACTGCTGCATTTAAAGACAGTGAGAACTGGAATTATTTTTCTTGAGAAAACAAGGCCCATCAGAGCAATGCTCTTGCCCGTAGTTAGTTACATAGCTCGTTATACAGAATTTTTACAATCTGTCATATGTCCTATCTTTAATTTCAGAGTCATATGTCCTATTTTTAATTTCAGAGTAATTTCAGAGTATTTAATTTCAGAGTATTTTTAATTTCAAGACTACTCCTTGCTTCTACATTGATCTAGAATAGTTCCAAAGAAGGCCCATTCAGACTAAGCATAAAAATATTAAAAACTTCTATAGCTTGACTTTGTGACGTGCTTAAGAGGAAGTGATTGTGCTTATATTAACAGTTTCATAGGCCTTCCTACCATTTTTAAACCAATTAGGGAAAAAAATACCAGGGAGTTGCATATAGAGATGGGCTGCTAGAGACAGAAACACTGTCTAAGTACATTTCAGACTTACACGTAAGGAATCTGAGACAATAGCACTGCCTTTGTTTACCTGCACTTTTAGGAATTTATTTCTCAAAGGCCCTCTGTTTCTGAAGGTGAAGAATGGAGGGACCAGACTTGGAAGTTCAAGAGGATGTCTGCTGAACTGTTGAGTCCTCTCTACTAGAAATAATCCAAGATCAGGGTTGTGCTATTCCTTCACTTGCAAATGCTGAAATGAAACACAAAGGTAGTATATTTGTAAGAATGGTTAAGCCACTCAAAAACAATTTAAAAATATTAACAAAAAAATATTTTAATAAACTCACTTCTCATCTCCTTATAGGATGATGAAATTACCAAAACAAACCAAAACAAAACAAAAAAATTCAATAGCCAAACCTACAGTACAGATTATGCTACTGTCATACATGACTGGTCTGCCAAAGGATCCAGTTCAGTCTCCTTGATAAAAATAACCCAGCTCAGTTAATTCAAAACAACCTGGTAATGAAAGAACCATTTGTCTTATTTTTCAGCTTCTTGCCACACATACACACAATTTTACTGCTAAATGCAGAGGTGGGAGAAGGACCTATTGCTCTCAGAAGTCTAAGAGAAAGGGAAGAGGGACAGACAGAGGAGAAGAGGAGGTTGAGAAGAATAAAAATATCCAGAAGAAAATGAGCCAGAAGGAAGCATGGGTAAATTACTGAGAGGAGTAACTAGAGTTTAAATGTGTTATGGGCCACTTCCTGGATGGGGGGAAGTTAAAAAAATTCTCAGTCTGTTCCTTCTGTAACTTTTCTCACACAAGACTCATCACGACAGAAAAACTAACCAGCAAAAACCACATGCTGTCTTCTGATAGAATACATTTGTATTTTAAAAAAATTCTGGTTGGGGAAATAGCTCAGTGGCACGGCACCTGCCTAGCCAGTGTAAGGTACTTAGTTCGATTCCCAGTACCCCCCCCAAAAAAAAGAAAAAAATTATTAGGCCACAAATATAAAACAACACAAAAAGATGGTAAATATTTTATTTCAGAAGACATTTATAAACTCTAATATCAGGGAAATGATTAAGGGAAATAATAACAGGGAAATGATTAAGTTTGGTTACTACAAAGACCACATAGTAACATGCAAAAATTGATTCCACTGAGTAAGAAAAACAAGAGAAAATATTAACTTGAACATTTCTGTGTGTTAGATGTATGTGTGATATCATTGAAAGGCATTAGAGAAAAAACAAAATCAGTTGACATGTTGAGTATTATAGGGGATTTTTTTTTATTAAAGTGAATGTATTTAAAATGCATAGAGAACACAAAATTTTTCTATTTCTATATATATTCCACTATTAAAGTGCTAAGAGGTCAAACCATTTATAAATTAGAAAAGTGTTCTTCTTCAAGGGCTGTTATTATATTAAATTCTACCATGAGGCAGAATTTGAAAGAAACTACTGATCATTATAAATTTTGTACATTACAATTATTCTCCTTAAATGTACAGAACTACAGCTCCTGGTTTCAATTATCCTCTATCCATTACTACTTATTATCAACTATAGTAAAGGATCACAATTTTAAAGCTGGACGAGTTCTTTAGGATTATGTCTGAATTAGTTGGTAAACTCATACCAGGAGGGGAATGGGAATATAATTATACCTAGAGAAGCTTAAATCAAGGGATGAACAAGACAGCCTTGTCTCACGTTTAAGGGCCTTCATGAAGAAGAGGAACTAGCTTGGTCCTGAATGCTACCAGGTGGGTAAGCCAAGGCCAGTGAATGCGAATTTCAAGAACGCAGTTTCCACCTCAGTACTAGCAAGAACTTGCTATGGTAATATTTATGCTGCCTAAAGAAGGTAACAGTTTGCATTGCTGGACAGTGGGCCGTTCATTACTAAAGACGTTTGTCTCTAAGTCTCCCTTGATAGAGGTTTGCACAGCAGCACTTAACAAAGCGATCCACTGGCATCACCTAAGACTTGTTAGACTCACATTCCGATTCAGCAGGTCTGGAGCGGGGCCCAATTATCTGTATTTTCCACAAGCTCCCAGGCACTGCTGATGCAGCTAGGTCTGTGCATGTAGGCTGAACAAGAACTCTAGAGTGTTATTTAAACCAGTGTTTCTCAAAGTACGGTTTTGCACAGAATTTTGCAGAGTCCTTTCCAGCCTTGATTTTAGGACAGGTGATTAACAGACAAATGAAGGGGTTATTAAGAGGGTATTGGGACTCCATGTATTCCAAGTCCCAAAAAGTGTGGTATCCTGACATTTTAGAGTACCCCCCAAATCAAAACCTAAGTAATAATCGTACATAATTTAAAGAAGGTATGTTTTACTTTCATTTAAAGATGCTGCTCTTATCCTAAGCATGGAACATAAATGAAAACAAATAATGAATGAATGGATTTATGACTTCAACAGCCTACACTTAGCAGAAACAGGATGTAAAAAAAAACAAAAAACCACACACATGCTGTAATGTAAACTGTGCCAGTCACTGCCATCATAAAACCATGTGTCCATAAAAGGGATGAGGAAAGTTTCCCAAGGTCAGCAACGGTAATCGCTGTGAGTACAGAGCTTTGCATTGTTTTCCTAGCCCGGCATTTTATTTCCCTACCTTCCCTTCTGGATCAGAAGAATTCCTTTAGTGCTTCAAAAGCAACCATTTCTAGCTTGGTCTTCTTTTACTCTGTCAGGTTATCTAGTAAATCTCAGTTTTCCATCAGTTCACGATTCTGTGTGATAACTTTCCGGGAGAAGTATGTTGATATTTGAACATATGAATACTCCAAACGGAAAGCGTTCTTATGTTTCTCCCCAAGAGTAAGTAGTCCTACAAGTAAAGGGGAGCCAGTTGGGTTGGGGTACAGCTGGTGGGCAAGTGCCTGACTGGCATACATGAGGCCCTATGTTAAATCCCCAGCAACACAAACACTAAAAAGGAAATCAGCTTCCTGCCTTGCCTTGACCCTAAAACTCCCCCTTCCAAAGGGTTTACTTTCTGCCTTTGCTTATAAGTTGCAAGTAACATTCCATTTGATTTACAAAAGCCCCTTTTCAAATTATTCTGTCAGTTCATTCTAAGCGAGCCTAGATTATTCTAGCCCTTTTGAAGTGTCACATCTTGCTTTTCCTTAGCGCTCCTATTTTTTTTTATATGCTTGTGGTACGTAACACTTACACTCATCTGGGGAACTGGAGCACACACATGCTGCATCTTGACCCTTTTCACTCTCCCTGTCCCCCTTCCTTCCCAGTTTCCCTTCCCATCGCCGCAGTCTACCACCATCTACTACTTTGCTCAGTAACTGTACCATGGGCTTCTCATATTTGAGAAACTATGTAGTATTACCTTCTGTGCCTGATAAAAAGAAACGGATGGAGGTAAACAACCAAATGAGCATGTATCACACTAAGGCTTCAGTGCTGAAACTATTCCGCTTTCTGTAACAAATGGAAGTATGTGACAGTATTTATACCACTAGGTATTAGATGATCTCCTAAAACCAAGTGATATACAGGAGAGGAGTCTGGATTTGGTATGCCTTATGATTTATTATCACAAATGCATACGGTATACATGTTCTATAAAATCATATAATCTTAGCTTTATCTCCTAATATCATCAGGTTAATCCTTAAGGCAAAATACATTTTGTCACCACACACACACACCGAGCACTGAACACAAGGCTTTTGCCCTAGGCACCATTTCTAGCCCATTTTATGTTTTATTTTGAGATAAGGTCTCACTAAATCATTAAGTTGCCCAGACAGGACTTGAATTTGTGATCCTCCTGCTTCAGCCTCCCAAAGTGTTGGAACTTCCTGGCTTCAAATTCATTCATTTATTCATTCATTCATTCATTTATTTTTAAATCTGAACACTGTTTTCACCTTTTGGGTATCTTTGCTGATTTATTCAACGAAGAATTTCCCTATGTCGGGGGCTGGGGATTTCGCTCAGCGGCACAGAGCCTGCCTGGCAAGCGCGAGGTCATGAGATCGATTCCCAGTACTGGAAAAAAAAACCAAAAAAAAATGTCCCTATGTCTGCTTGATGCCAGACACTGCTGTAGGTGCCAATGATACCATAGAGAAAGAAAAAGAGAACAGTTTATAGTCCAGGAAGAGGCAGACATTAGCAAGTCATTCACAAGCAATTATTAAATTACAGTTGTAGCATAATTAGGAACTGCTGGAACTGACATAAGTAGAGAAAGATGAGAATGAAATGAAACAGGGCAAGAAAGAGGAACATTTCAAACAGAGTAAACAGCGTCTGTAACAGTTCTGAGGTGAGAATGAAAATGATACCCTGGATGAAATGAGCTGCATACAGGGTGGTGGTGGAAACACGAACAGCTAATCTTCGTTGCATGCCCACTTCATCCCCGTCTCTCCACACGTGACTTCATACAATCCTCAGAACAGTACCGAGACAGCCACAAATATTCTCATTCTCCACACAGACAGGCTGAGGCTCAGGGAAGACACGATTCGACCATGGTCTTCAGCTAAAGGTGCAGCACTACGGGCCTGTACGGCTTGCTGCTGGGTTTATTCCTGGCCTGAAAGCAGCTACAGCTTCCTGAGAACTTGGTCAGTGTGGAGCTTTCCTTGTGTCCAACAGTCAGTGTGTGAATATTAAATAGCCTGAACCTCATTTCCAAAGTCTTAATAAATGTATGGTTATTAGTTAAAATCTACTTAATTAGGGATAAATACAGACTTTTTAATACAACAATGTTCATAAATGCTCAAAAGTTAATATATTAAATGCCAAGAACCCATTAACCAAACCTTCTTGTATTTTTTGTTTTGTTGTTTTCCTCTTGTATTTTTTAAAAGCACAGATTTATGTTCTCATCCATACACTCTCCCTCTTCTCCCGCAAACACTAACAAAAGTTTGATAGATCCGGTCCACTTTTTGTTTATGTGTACATACAAACACACATATATTCATAAACATTACATAGCATAGGAAGTTGTTTCAAGCAATCTTCTACATATACTCTGAAATCTGTGTTTTTCACTCAATGCTTCTGGCTTTAAACATTACATAGCATAGGAAGTTGTTTCAAGCAATCTTCTACATATACTCTGAAATCTCTGTTTTTCACTCAATGCTTCTGGCTTTATACAATGGACTGGTTCACTCTTCTTCATAAAATAAATACGTAAGAGAGTTATCCATTCATTACACTGGACATTTAGATTGTTTTCAAAGAAGCACTTATCTAAATTGTTGTTTTGTAGAGCCAAATCTCCTTTTGCCAGTCTGGTAAAAACAGCTGGACAAGACATGAAATCTCTAAAATTGCTAGAAATACTTTAAGATTGAAACTTTACTTTTAAACAGGTTTTTTTTTTTTGTCTAAAACATAAACCTTTGGTAATTCAACTCATTAAAATACTTAGATATTTAAAATACTATGAATCTATGAAAAGGGAAAGTAAACATTTAAAATGAGAAATTTCTAGTTTATGAGAATGTATAATCCTGTTGAAACAAAATATACTGAAGAGAAAGTGAATGCAGAAAATAAACTCACTATAACCACTTTTTCCTCAACTAATATGGGTAGAAAAATCAGCCTGTTGAAGTAGATAAACATACCAAAGGCTTCTCTGGAATCTTATGTCCTGTATTCTAGCCAGAAGATAATCCAAGCAAAACATTACAGAAAAGTTACCAATTTTTTTAGAATCAAAAGATGGGGAAGCCTCTACTATGTGGACAGTTAAAGCAATAAAATAACTGGTCTGTGATCTTGAAGTGGTTAGATCTAGAAGTGGTATAACTATAAATAATGATCTGTACATATTAATGCAATTTTTAGCTCAAGGACATTGTAACAAGGTTTATTATCAAGTGTAAACTAAAGTTAAGGCTAAAATACGTGAAGATTCATCTATGGAATTCCTATACCTTTACCATTATTTTCTATAATAATGAGACAATCTCAAAAGGTAAATATTTCATAATACTTTAACTGTTTACTAATGCCCACGTTCTTCACACTATAAAACAATGAGGTCACGAAAACACATACAAAAAGATGGAAGAGGTGTATTTCTCTTCTGAGAGAAAGGAAGAAAAGTCCCTTCTTGGAGCTAATTTCCAAAGAATTACATATCACCCCAAGAAGGTAAATAAAAAAGAAATCTGAGTTTCCGGTAAGTTCACTGAGTCACAGTGGAGTCCAACTGTTTGGTCCCACTTCTACAAGCAAGTAGAAAAAATGTATAAGCACATTTCATAGGCAAAGCAAGACAGCATTATTTCTTCTGGATCCCTGGCTTAAGTTGCAGAAATCCTCCTAAGCGGAGGAATACCCTCCCAGGCTTCAGGACAAAGCCCTGTACCCAACCAAAATTCACTCCGTATTCAGAGTATATGTGTTTAGTTTAGTGAGAAAATGGGCAGACAGTTGCAACAGCTCTATATACTTGTCCACCTACCTTTCCATCTACCCATCCACTCCTCCATCGCAGACGTTTACTATCCACCTATCCCACGCCATGCAATCTCATGATGCAAGGACTGAGCTAAGAGAGACATACTAAAGTTAAGTCTCTGTACCTACACATTTAAACACACAATTAAACATAAATTAAACTCACGTGCCCTACTCTGGACCTCACCACTGTAGGCTGAAGGTTTACTATTTCATAACTTTTATATTAACTATGAATGTTATTCAGAAAACATGACTAACCTGAAGTTCTCTCCCCAAAGATCAAAATATTTCTCCAGTATAAACACCCGGAACTAGAAGTTGAAAGAGGCCTAGTAAGAGAATAAGGAACAGGAAAAAAACCATTAATGAAAACTAACATCACTTCCACGTCTGAAAGTTCCGTTTGGGGTTTCTGTAAATGTTCTGAAGATTTCCCCATGATTAGGGGCAGCAGCAATTGCTGACTTCACCACAGAAAGGCAGGAGAAGTTCGGAGTGTACGTTCATTCACCCTGCAGTCATGGTAGGCTGAGACATCAGAGAGAAAAGGACAGTCTAGGCTAAGAGCATTTAAAAGAGCCCCACGTTCCGAAGGGAGCACACACAGTTCAGGAACTGTCTGGAGCCTAATGCCAGAAAGTCAGCCCAATATGGAAAAATACGTCAGTTTATCAGATGTTCTGAAACTAGCCCTTTGCACAAGTGCGTGCAACAATCTAATTGCTGGGCTGCTCTTTGGTCTGTGGGCTGTTTTATTGTCACAAATCTGAAATGAGATTTGCTATGCCTAAGTGCAGCAGACTGCAGCCTTTATTTACAGCACGTAGCATTACTTGAAAAAGAGGGACTGCATTTTAAAAACAGTGAGCTGATTTTTTTTCTATCAAAAATGATTCTAGACAAAACAAACTTGGGAAATTGCATCAGAGATATGGCCCCAGTTTGGGCCTGAAAGGATGGGTTAGGACATTTAACCTAAATGTCTAAATTCAAGGGGTCTGCAGGACCATCCTCCCTCTGCAAAGTATAGAGGAAAATCTCTCTCCCAAGCGTTCTGTGGCTTGTCGATGCCTCATTCCAACCCTCTGTCTTTAAATGGTGCTCTCCTTGTGTCTGTCCTCATGTAAACACCAGCCCTATTAGACAAGGGGCCTACCCCAATCCAATATGACCACATTAACTCAGGTAATTACATCTGACATGAACCTATTTCCAAATAAGGTTACATTCTTAGGCGTGGGGCATTAGGGCTTCAACCTGTCTTTTCAGGGGTCACGTAAGTGAACCCGTAACACCCTCCAAGAATGCCCACTGCTTATGTTCAGTCAAATGCTCTGGAGCCATTCAGAATACCTGGGTGCTAAAGCTCAATGTTCAAGGGAAACAAAAAGTGAACCTATAGTGACAAGAGTCTGAGGAACCTCACAGTGACGAAATGGGAACGCGGTATCCTCATTAAGGGTCCTATTTCCTTGTCAGAAGACAGCTTACCTGGGTATGTTTACTGTGAGGAAATTTATTGCAGTACAGTCATATGGTTTGTGTGCTGACTTGTGTGTCTGTGACTGTTAGTCATGATTTGCCACCTGCACTGGATTAAGAAACAGTAGATTAATAATGCACACTAACATGTATGTCTGAGTGGGTCATGGAGACATAATGTTGGGTACTACGTATGGTCCTTAGCCCATTCCTTTCTAACACTGTTGCCCTGCTCTGCTTCCCTGCTACCATGAACTAAGCATCTTTGCTCTGCCATGTGCTTCTGCCGCGCTGGTTCCTGCCTTAGGGCCAGCCAACCATGGACTGACTTTCCTGAAACACGGAGCCAAATTAAACCTCTCCTCTTTTAAATCGTATGCATTGGGTACTGTACCCAGTGATGTGAATGCTGCCTAATACACTGACATAGTTTCATAAAACCTTTATGAAACACTAGAAAAGAAAAAGCTTTCCAAGAAACAGAGGTCTTCGCAGCCCAAGCAGGACTTTGGAGAGGGCGTCATCTGCAGGGAGTCACATAACTGCGAGTCAGCAGCTCAGCCTGGTTCAGGCACTTACTTACACGGCCAGTTCACCTGAGAAGCGCAACTCCAAGGAGGCTGTTTCATAACTAGAAATGTCAAAAAAATTCACTTACAAGAAGAATATAAATACCAAGGGGTCTATACTCTTGAATGAGCTAAATAATAATTTTTATAGGCAAATACATGAGCAGTAATTATAAAGTTATCTGATAAGCACAGGCCCACAATAAAGGTATATTCTGCCCTACACAGTGCTGGAAATATAGTGAGACAATCTTCTTTGTTCTTTGCCTCCATAGCCTTCTTGCAGATCTTTCACCTGCATTCTCTTTTCAGGTTAATTATAGTTTGTGTAAGTTCCACTGCTTTTTTCTTTCACATCTAATTCTTCCCTGGGAATTTTAAGCTTTAAGAGCTTAAAGACTTGTGTTGTGTCCTGTTGCTTAATTTCCAAGGAAAAGAAACCATCAAAAGACAGAGTGAAAAGCAACTGGGAAATACTAAGACCTAATATAAATCATATTTCGGAAGTAAAGACTAGATACAAGGTTTGGCAGAATTAAGTATAACTCATAAACTTAACATCCAACATTATGTAAACTATGGAGAATGTATTAAAACATCAAAACAAGGGGCAGAAAAGAAGTCAAAATTTAACTGTAATGCTAATAAGTACAAGCCAAATACTGATAAAAATTGACATATAAATGATGAAATATGTATGTACAAAATGAATCTGCAAATAGACGCATTTGGCCTTCTATTGTATAAAATTCCTTAGGAGGGCACTGGAAGTTTCAAAATCAAAATGTGTAGTGGTCCCCTTGACAGTTCTCACTGGCTGACTCCATCTTGTCAAAGCCCCGTTTCCTTTGGATTCCCCTGCCTCAGAAGTTGCAAACGATATTTTGAAAATAATACTTAACATTTCTGTTTTTAAACTTTCAATGAGAGCTAATTACCAATTAGACCTTGTCTTAACCAGTATTTTTACCATTTTCTTATGAGAAAAGCAACTGAAGGAGATGTACTACGTGTCATACGTAAGGACCAAATCCATTTTTAGAAGTACCATGCAGAATCTGCCCACGATAAATTGCCTATATGGACCTACATGTGGAGTTTTTAGAAAAATAAATAATCCATAAGCCTTAATTTTGATAGAGCTAACTCCTACAGCCTCTCCTTCCTCATCTGCTGACATGTTTGACTGTAAATATTATGCTCTAATAACAACAAACTGAGCAGTTCTCAGTCCTACTCAGCACTATTTCACACTTCAGTGCCTCTGATCACTTGTTCCTGTAGCCTGGAATGCCACCCCTACCCTCCTTTCTCCCATCAACCTTCTTAATGGGATTCTGTTCTCAAAGGAGGACAGCCTTTCTATCTCTATCCTGTATCTGAGAAAGTGTCCAGGAAAAAATATATACATACAGCTGTTTCAAGAATAGGTTTAACTATAACCAGCATATTTTTAAACAACAAAACCTTTAAACTACATGCTGTTTAAATGCATATCTGGAGAGTGTAGTTTTTATTCTTTAACCATGGTTTATTTTGAAAAATTCCTAGTCTTATCCAACCAACAGACTTTTCTTCCCCCACCCCCAAACATGTATGCACACACATACACACTCTCTCACATGCAGGCACAGCATCACTCTGCTGCTCTACACAACCGTGCAGTGTCTAGCACAGGACAGGTATCCAAATACTTACTGTTGTTCACTAAAGACTAATTAAATACAACCACATTGGGACATATATGTAGTCCAAAATAAAATCAAGTGGTAAAAGAAAACAGATGAGAAAAATTAGAGCTATATACATCAGAAAGGCTTTCTGAAGGTAAGAGTTAACTGAGGAAGAAAAGCTATAGTAACAGCAGATAACACTAATTAAATGTTTAATATCTGGCAGCAACTACGCTGAACCATGTATGTTGGTGTGGTGGTTAAACTTGATTGTGTCAACTTGCTGGCTTGGGACCTGCCCTGGAATTCAGTGAAGCACACTTCTGAGTGTGGCTTGGTGGGTCATGGAGGTCGGTCTTAGGATCTGTATCTAGTCCCTCAACCCTGCCTCCTGGCACTGTTCCACTGCTCTGCTTCACAGCCACCATGAACTGAGCATCTTTACTACGCTATGCCCTTCCCTTAGAATGTTTCTGTCTTGGAGCCATAGACAGTCACTGTAACCATGAGCCAACTTCATTCCTTTCTCCTGTAAGCTGTGGGTGTTGGGTATCGTGACTCAGCTGCAAGAAAGCTGATAAATACAGAAAATAGATACTGAAAAGTTGGGGCTGCTGCAATGACTATCTGGCCATGGGTTTCAGAAGCCCTTGGAACTGGCTTATGGGAGGGGCTTGGAGAAGTTTGGAGAAGCAGGGCAGAGAAACCTGAGAAAGCTGTAAGTAGAGCCTGATGGGTGAGTCTTGTCTGACTCTTACACAAGAATGCTGCTATGTGGACAGTAGAGAGAGGCTCAGGAGGCTTCAACAGGGAATGGGCATTTCATCACCAACTGGGCTAGAGCTACGTGTGTTACACCGACAGAATTATTGGTCTACATTTTGCCCGGTACTGAGAATTACAGGAAACTGAGATTAAAGATGATAGCAACAGGGCTGGAGACCATGTGTTACATTCTGACAGAACATTTGTTGACACTGTACCCATGTCACGAGACCTTGCAGGACAATGAGATTAAGGGCAATTCACTAACTGATCTGACAGAAGAAATGTCAAAGCAACCCAGCATTCAGGCTGTGGCATGGGTATTGCTGGCTGCTTTTGGCCAGATTTACAGTGAGAATGTGGGGCAAAATACAGAGCAGAAATATTTATAAAACTTAAATTTTGGTCTAAAAGGAACTACATGTAAAATTAGGGCCAAAGAAGGTGTGACTGCAGATGAGATTACACCATGAAAAAGAAAATAAGCACTCTATAAAGGAAGAAGATAAATGCCTTGATGCCATCTCAGGAAGCACTAAAACCCCACCTCTGCCTCGCAAATGCAAAAGTATGAACCTTTCATTTGAGAAGAGAAGCCCTGGACCCTTCATTCAAGAAGGGCTGCATGGGGAACTGACTTCCCATGGATCCTTTCACCACGCTTAGCCATCCAGACACTCAAAGGCTGTTGTTGCCACAGTTCAAAGGGGGCTACTGCCAGTGCTGGTGACAGATCTAGCTACTATCCATGTGGCTGATGCTGGTTTTACTGCTAAGCAGAATGCAAGAGTTGTAGGAACAAAGAGGGTTCTGCCCAGATTCAGAGGAAGGTCTGGGAGGTCAGTGACAGGGCAGCATGTAAAGCTGTGGGAATAAAGCCAAAGGTACAGTGGAGACACTAGGAAGTCAGAAATGCCAAAAATGTGGAGTAGCCACCAAGGAAAGCTGCAAGCTGAGTGGAGTCAGCCCAGAGACAGGCTGTGTGTGCTCCAACTGGCAAGGCCGTAGGATGGGGCCACCCAAGCCCTTTATAACTCACATCTTACCGCCACATGCTTCTGCTGCTGGGCATGAAGTTAAAGGACTGAATGTCTGCCCTGCTGGGTTTCAGCCTTCCTTTGGCCCAATTCTTTTCTATCCTTCTGTTCCCCGCTTGGCAGTGGGAATGTTTACTCTGTGCCATTGTACCTTGCAGTACAAAGGTTCAGAGCTGAATTTACCTTGAATCTCAAGAGACTTTGACTTGGACTTTGAAAATGGTGGAACCGTTGAGAATCTGAGGAGGAATTATCGCACTGCCAGTTGTACGCAGAACAGCTGTGACACACTAGGTGGAATTATTCATGTGGTACTGTGAGTAGAGACTGAGCGTGGTTTAAAGACACGTGTTTGGGTGTCAAACTGACAAGGGGTAGAACGCAGCGGATAAGCCTGCGTCAACTCGTATGGTTTGGGAGCGCCTCGTGTGAACGGTAAAGCAGTTCTGCTGTGGCTGTGACCTTAGGCCCCTTATTTGGTTCTCGACCGTGCCTCTTAACCACTGTTCCTCTGCTCTACTTCCTGACCACCCTGAACTAAGCATCTTTGCTCTGCCATGACTTCCCGCTATGACATTTCTGCTTTGGAGCAAACGGATCATGGCCTGAATCCCCTGAAGCTAGCAGCCAAAACACATCTCTCCTCCTTTAAATCGTGGGTGCCAGCTATTGTGTCCCAGCAAAGGGAAAGCTTATCAAAGCAATAAATTTTCTTTTTAATCATTATCAGAACTGTGCTGTGAACCTAACTGCAAGTTTGCAGATAAGAAAAGTCAGGTTCAGATAAATTAGGTAACTCTAGGGTCATACAGAGATAATTCACGAACCTGAAAGCTGAATAATGATTATGGGGCTGGGGATTTAGCTCAGCCGCACAGCACCTGCCTGGCAAGTGCAAGGTCGTGAGTTCGATTTCTGGTACCGGGAAAAAAAAAAAAAAAAAAAACAATGATTATAATATGGGTTGGATGGGTTGTAAAAGAGGTGGAGAAAGGAGAAGGAGAAAGTCCTTCACTGTGAAAGAACAGCCCAAGATAAAGCCCTGGGAGGTCTGCCATGGCTCCAAGCTCAAATGAGAGAGGAATAAGAAACTTACTTGAGATGGCAGAAAATTTCAGTGATTATTGGGAGAAAATCTCTGGATCTGTGAGCAGAGAAAAAAAATTCCACAACATAAATCATGCTTGATAAATGTTATGAAAACTACCTGTACAGCAACTCTGATGTTCGTAGGCCCAGAGCTTGAGTAGATGTTGATAAGAATATGATTATTTCATATTTAAAGCAGAAACGCCCCACCCACCAAATTTACAGTACTAGTATTTTTGTTTTTTGTTTACAATAAGTGAACCAGATTTGCACTCTAAATAATTCAATGCCTACTAAAGATTTACTTCAGGACCAGAAAGCACAGCTATCTCCTAAATCCTGCTTTCAAATAATTCAATTAGTTTTAATTTATTTATAATAAATTTATTTATAGCTGGGATAAAACAGAACTAATTAGCTAAATTCCTTTGACATTTACCTAAAATACTGATTACAAATATCAAAAGTATTTGGATAACAGTGTCTTTTATCTCATCATTTATAACAGAAAGGTCTCATAACTATCACACTCTAACAATTAAATAAAATTATAAATGAAGTAAATTGGTGTTGTTGGAAAGCAGCTGAAAATCTGTTCATACCCAACTTAAATGCTTGGATAATCACTTTACTGCTCCCATCTAAACGCAACCAGATAAACTAGTTTTTAATTTTTAAATGTAGGCAGTTATCCACAAAGAGGAGCTAGTAAATTTATAGAAAAAAGAGCTATGATCTCATCTCTTATATTTCTTTGGCTTTATACTGACCACAAAAATGTACATATTATCTATCTCTGCTTCCTCTAGACTGTAACATTAAGGACTCATATATTAAAAAGTTGCACAAAATTTTAATTAAAGTGTTTGAGATTTCCTTTTCTAGTTCTGGCTGAAACATCTGTGCCAGAATATATTTCTGAAGCAATCTCTAAGAAGAGGTCAGAAACATTAGGCTGATACTTCAGAGAACTTTTAAAATCTGATGGCATAGGGGAAGGTGAGTTCAATGATTATAATCATTATTGGGAAATCAGATCAAGGACAAAAACACAGTGTTTCTGTAACATCATGTTCTTGCAGAACAGGAGAAAACACATCTAAAGAGGCAGATTTTCACTCAGAATTTTAAAAATGTAAATACACCACACTGGGGATCCCTTCTATAGTCGTAATTCTGTGAGAAACTCCTCCTCCAGTTTCCAGCAAGGCCCTACAGCTCTCCAGAACCATCTCCTCACATTCTCTTTCCTGTCACAAGCTTCTCTGTGAATTCTCCTCGCTCAGCTGTCCTGGTAAGCACAGCTTTTTACCCCTCAACATTTATTTGCATATCACACAAGCTTAAATGATAGCTAATGTAAACCTAAGAAATATCATAAAAAATCATTGGAATTTAAACAGTGAAATTTTGAACTTAAATAGCACTTGAAAAGAAGTGTACAAAACAATGGACATAAAGATGTTGTACCCTTACAGAGGGAAATAATTTTGTTATTCACACTCATGCTCAGTGACATAGCAATAAACTAGACTAGCCCAACCCAGATTACCACAGATTAAGAATTATGAAACTGTACTCAAACTATGCCATGTGTGAAAACAAATTTGAGAATATCTACAGCTGATATATGCCAATCTTCCCCTTGTCAGCATAAGCATATTATAATTTTTCAGAAAGAAAAAACCTTTCCTAGGGTTTTAATATACACAAATCCACAGAGATGAACTCTTTTCTCCAACAGGTAAAGCATTTGAGATGACAAGCTGTTAATTATAATGATTATAAAAATGAATGATAGGGGCTGGGGATTTAGCTCAGCGGCAAAGCGCCTGCCTGGCAAGTGCAAGGTCGTGAGTTCGGTTCCCGGTACCGGAGAAAAACCAAAAAAAAAAAAAAAATGAATGATGAGCACTGTAACAATATTACAACTTAGCAAATATATGAGCATTGTAAGCCAATCAATGGACATTAATTGAGTTGTCTCATAATTTTTTTTAATCTACAATATAAACCATCATCATTGCCCTCTCAAACAGAAATGTCTAGATTTTATGCTAATCAATCTCAATGAAATGAATACAAAAAGCACATAGGGATCCCTTTCTTATACAAGTTAAGAAATAAGCAGGTCAAAGAATTTTTTCTCTCTAAAAACTGTTTCTCTCTAAAAATTGTTCCAGTTTTCTCCAGACAAGAACATATTTCTGATGATAAGACACCCTGGAATCAAAGAATAACTGATTCAATGCTAGAACTTCTGTATATTTCTGATAAACCAGCACTACTAGTTTATCAGAAATAATAAATCTCACATAATTTCATGCTACAATACCCTAATTCCATCAAGATCACCGAAAGACAGACTGAAATGATATTCTCACACACAGTATATGCCCCTGACAAATACCACAGGGGTCCTGCACATATCCACTGAAACTGTGCTCTGAACAGAGCCTGCACCTGCAGTGACAGATGACAAACGCAGTTTCAGAGGGAAAAGAAGCAGGAATCAGGAAGAAGCACGGCCTCTTGCAACAGTGATTGTCATGCAAATTAATTCCAACTACGACTTAATGTGACTAGATAATTTTTGGTATCTAATTTCAGATGTTACTAGCCAATCCAAAAACTTCAGGGAAACACGAGATAATTCAGTCTGAAAAGTGGCTGAGAAATCAGAGCTACAAACAGAATCTTTTATGCCTGCAGGTACAATTAAGCAGGTATACTGGCTTACTGAAGAGGATCCGGAAATACTACACAGGGTCCTCTGAGCCCTGCTCTTGTGTGCAGCTGTCCCGGTGCACTGGCCTAGGACATGGAGGGGAAAATCAGTGATGCCCAATGAACAAGAAAAGCCACGTGAGAGTAAAAGTGTGTGTGTGTGTGTGTGTGTGTGTGTGTGTGTGTGTGTGAGAAGCCCATTTGCCACTGGGTGAAGTGTCAGCCAGTCCCTAATTAAATGTCTCCAGAGGCATCCCACTTTTAATTAGAATACAATTCCAACTCCTTTCCAAGATTTGCAGACCCTACAAGGTCTGCCTCCCTTCCATCTCTCCTTTCACGTTCCCTGGGCACTCCACTCTTTCCATACACTTACCTTTTGTTCCTCCAACACCCCAAATACATTCATACCTTCAGGACCTCTGCAGTTATTGCCCTCTACCTGGGATGCTCTCCTTCTGCCCTTTACCTGACGGGCTCTTTTCCATCAATCATATCTTAGCACAAGTATTAGCCTTCGGAGAAGCTCTCTGACTGTTCTAGCTTCCTGTCCCCTCTCTAACACACTTAAACATGGCACTGCCTTTGCAAAACACATTCTATAGGAAACACGCTTTTCATTTACTTCAGTCTCATTAATCAACTCTGATTCCCATCAAAACATCAGTTATGAGAGCAGGATCTTAGTCTATCTGGTTCAACACTCCACACACTCCTCCATGCTGCCCAGAACATCTCCTGTTCTACGCTGGATACCCAGTAAGTATTTACTGACCCCAAATTTATCCCACAGTATGGATGACCACGTAGAAAGTGACCCAAATCCACCGTGAAACCAATCTGCTTCACTGTTGCCCCACATCGCACCAAAGTCACCCACAGCTATACCAACTCCAGGCCTGCTTCTACAACCTGTGCAAAGTGAGAGTAACTGTACAAGCTTTGCACAATCTCTAGCTTTTCTGAACCTTATCTAGAGGCCTACTCTCACTATCTGAAGATCTTTCTATTCCAAATCAGATAAAAAGTGTTTCAAACGTTCTTCAAAGCCAAGTATTAGATGCCAGTGAACAAAACAATACCATTTGGTGCACTTTATCCTAAAGGAGAAAAGAAAGGAACATTTATAATCAACCTTTCAGTGTTTATGCTAAAAATTTTCCTAAGGGCTGGTTGTTTTCCTTGCTCTCTTTCTCAACAGTCCAGGAAGAGGAACACTCTTGCTGTCAGACCAAAAGGTTGTGGTGGTAAAGATAAGCTAATCATTTCTATTTTTATGACCAAAAGCTCTCCAAGAAGAGAAATACAGAGAGAATAAAGCAGATCCTACTAGTCCTTATTCTCATTAAAATCCCTACAGCCTCACACCCTCAACCATTCTTAACCTGATCATAGGGAAGGCAAGCTCCTGACCAAGTATGAGACACTATGGCTGGTTTTCTGCTAAGGCATCACCACCAGGGGGAAGAGCCCCTGCTACCCCTCTCATGCTGAGAGGACTGTGTTTCTGACAGCCTAACATGGAACCATAAATACAATATGCTACTGAAACAACGTAATGCCCGAGGTATACACTCCATTGCATCTGTAAAGCTCACTGCAAATCAAATACATATTTTAACTCATAAGGATTAACTTGGAACTAAGGTGTATCATGCATGGTATTGGGACCAACAAGAAAAAGAGGTTTATCTCAATTGTGAAATGGGAAAGAATGTAACTGAAAAGACTTCTTCCAGGCAAGATGTAGCTGGTCCTCAAAGAGTGAGTAGGGTTGTCAGTGAAAATACATTCAAAAAGAAAAGATTTTGAAATGCAAACCACTGGAGATAACATAATCTCCTGGACTGGCCAAACACAGCACATCTAAACAGCGCATCAAAAATGTACAGAAGGGGCTGGGGATTTAGCTCAGCAGCACAGGGCCTGCCTGGCAAGCACAAGGTCGTGAGTTCGATTCTGGTACCTTCTGGTACCAAAAAAAAAAAACCAAAAAAACAAACAAACAAACAAA